ACTCACATCATCATCACCAGCCACTATATTCTGTATTCTCCTTGTCTCTAGCCTTCCTTCCCAAGCTTTCCCAGACTGCTGACAAGGTTTCTCCTACTTAGAAACCCTTTTTGATCAAACCCTTATCTTTCCACTCTTATCTTCTGTCATCTCCCTTAATACTTCAAGTTCAACCATACTACGATGTACGCTTTTTCAGTAAATGAAATGTGCCTGTTGCTCTCTGTGCCTAGAATGCACTACCCACTCAAGCCCCACATCCCACTTCTCTTTTATTTCTTTACTTCCCTCATCACAGCACGTATCTAACTATCTTGTTAGATAGCATTTAGTTGTATAAATCCCCTACTAGATTGCAAGCTGCCAGGAGGACAAGACCCAGGTTTTCTTCTCACAGTTTTATCACCAGCACATGACACATGGACAATGCTCAATAAATATTGATTGAATGAATGAATGAAACTTTCTACAAATTCGTCACATGTGTATAAACAGACACTTAGATTAGACTGCACTTAGGTTGCTGTAGCTCATATCATTCATGTAGCTAAACAGCTGTAGTCTTTTACTTTACTGTTTTATAATGCTAACAATAAATTATATTTTAGTAGTCAACATCATGAGAAGGTTATGAAAATAGAGATTGCTATAAAATAAAGATCTAAGGAAGAATAAAGTTTTTCTTTCAGGACCATTCAGATCAATTTCATGGCCTTAAATCTGGAAGATAAATAGGCATGCTGGTATTGTTTTGTGTTACCCTCATTATCCAGCACTTTTCCAGGAAGTCACCAATTTGTGCAATAACATCACGCTGGAAATAAATAGAGAGATTTTAAAGGCAGTAAATGTGTATCTCCAGGTCACTCATAACTAACACAGGTAAAGAAAGAACATCCAACCTATTTTCTAAAACCAAGAACAAACAGTAAAGTAAAACTCTCAGACTAGAGGAAAACCTCTCAGCCACACCAATATTTGCTGTATGACTGAGCTATGTTTTTAATATTTGTATATCTGCACAGGCAACTTAGCTTGTGAAAATTTTACTGAATGTCTTGATGTCAGATCAATACAATTTTAAAAGGAAGCAAAATATCAGGAGAAAATGAAATAAGTAGAAGAGAAAGAAAAGACTTAAGAAAATGGCAGAGAAAGTGCCTTTGTTAATGCTTTTATGTTTCACAATGAATCTGTATTTATGCCTTTTTTTCTTTTCTTTTAATTAAAAATCCATAAAACTTATGTTGGAGAAAAATTAAAGGAAAGTAAATCCAAGCAAGAGCAGTGGCTTGCCCCTGAGGATGTGCTTTGGTTTTATCTTTAGTTTTAACTACAAAGTTGCTGCATATAATGGTAGTACTATCTTACTTTCTTAATGGATGAAATAACTAGCTATATAATACCCTCTTTTATCCAGTAACATGGTCTTTGATCCATGCCTTGATGAAATTCTTAGAATGATTTGCCGTTGAATGAGCCCTGATCTCTACCTGCGTGAGGGTGACAATGAATGGCTGGACAATGCTTCTGAGCCATTAGGCAGGGGGAGGAGTGAGCATGTAGTTGGTAGGGGGCGGTTAGGAGCCTTCCCAGTTGCCACTAATTCCAGCCAGAGGAGAAAAAGAGCAGTGGCAGCAGTAACAGTCCAGGAGGATGAAGTTGATTTTACAATTTTGTTTTGCCACCTTGTGCCTTCACACAAGTTTTGCAAGGCACTAATTATCTAAGGTCTGAGTTCTCCACTATATTACAAATGTCATTAGGCAAGGACCTCACCAGTCTTGCTCCCACTGTATCCTCAGGGACTAGCACATAAATGGGAAGAATGCAATAAATATTTATTGGAAGGTTGAACAAATGAATGAATCCATCCATCTTTCCATATATCCATTAGTGGAGGTGGAAGGAAATCACCTACGCTTCTTATCACAGTCATTTCCACTAAATGTGGCATAGAGCACCATTAATTCAGCTGCCCATTCACTCACTCCATCAGTTATTCATTTAACAAGTATTTATCACACACATATTAAGTGCCTGGCCATGTGCTGGGCACTGAGAACTCAAAGGTGAACAAGGCTAACATTGGCTCTTACCCTCATTATGGTTACAGATAAGCAAGGAAAGCAGACATTCAAAAGCATGATGGACAAGGATTCTAATAGAGGAAATACAGGACTTAATGAAAATAAATAAGTAGGGGGCCTAGCCAGGTGAGAATGTAAGGGTAGATTGGATCAGAATCTTTATGATGAGCCAATAAACACCTGAAACAACACATGGACCAAGCATACTTTGGCAGTAGCATATCACAAACGAATAAAAAGGACTGGCCTACCAACAATTTGCATCATAATTGACATCAGAGATGTGAAAGGAACCAGAGAAAGCCTTGGTTCCTGCAGGTCACTTTGGTTTGCTAAAAGGTTCCAAATTTATACGTAGCAGAATAGTCAGCATATACGCTCTTGCCCTAGTTTGACCTTCCATTCACTGTGTTCGGCTGATCTTTTAAAAAAGGTTCAGTACCCCCATATGAACACAATGGTACTCTCTACTTTTTTATTCTAATATTAACTTTTATTTTTGTTACTTCAGGGTGTTTAAAATATATTAATCAATAAATCTATAGTATGTGTCCTAGAGTTGTTCAAATAAAGGATGTACTTTTAAATATCTAAATAAATGGACCTGTTTAAAATAGTATTTACATTGTTTGAATGAATGTGGCTTAAGGGAAGATATGTTTTTTGTTACAGCATTAGAAAATAATTTGCACTTAGTTTTCTCACTGTCCTGTATATCCCTGTAGTCACCTCCTCAGCTCACAGACACCACTAATCTAAAAGTAATTTCTTTGCCATACATAAAAAATAAAAGAGTAAGTCAGCCTAAGAGACCACAATGACAATTCTAAATCTGATTTCCAGAAACCTCTAAAAAAATCTGTAAATGCAGCTGGAGGTTTTCTGGGGATGGGTCTAGTTTTTCAGATACTTTCCTCTATTTTAACTGGGTCATTAGGGAATGGCTCGTCAAAACATCTGCTCTGGAAAACTTTAAGGGCATTGAATGCTAACCTGAAGGACAGGAAAGGAAAAGATTTTGCTGTTCCTACTCTTTCCATCCTCCTGAAATATGCCTCTAAAGAGGAAGACCTGACTTTGAAAAAAAAGCACAAGTGCCATCGGTGTGTGTTCCAGGAAGACACAGGAGAGGCTGCCACCAGAGCGCAGTGCAGCCCCTCACGCATCGATCCCTGCTGTCATGCTGAACAGCGGCAGGAGGGGCCTGCGTTCAAATACGAGTATGCTTGATTAAGAAGACGTGTATTCTCAAACCCTGGAGAGTGATTTGGCTGGTGCTGAATTACATTAAACATTTGGAGGATTCAAGTTTTAAAAAAACAGTGTATATCACAGAATAATAAATGGCAAAGAAGCTAATAAGCCTTTTATGGAAAAAATGCATGAAAATGGCATGAATGAGCCATGTTTGTTTGTTTGGGGAGGGGGTCACTGCTATGTGTTTACTGTCTGTTTCAAGGAAGACAAAATATTTTGTTTCTTCTTGTCATTTGTTAAGGTCTTCTATTACTAGGAGTACACTTTAGCAATCATCTCTACCACATTGATTAGAATGCCACATAAATCAAGACTTCAGGAGCAGGTAATCACAGTGGTCCTATTTTATCAATAATTTACCTTCAAGGACCAACACTCTCACAGTGCTCTGTCCTTACCAAAAGTTCATATCTACTGAACATTCAATTTACTTACCACTTCGAGCTCTGCTGTAAAACGTAACTTATACATTAAGTTGTTTTGTACATTTTTGAACTTGCTTAAAATTAATAGCCCAAATTATCAATATCTGAGATTTTACTAGGAAAGAACTATTGATACATGCAACTTGGATAAACAAACTTCTAACAAGCCAATAAACCAATAAACAAAAGCTTACTTCTGTCACACAAGCCAACAAATAAACTTACCCGTATCTGAAGTAAGTACTAAACTGTCTGCAGAGGCGGTGGGCAAGTTCTCGTTTACCACAAGCTTGAGGACCAGCTAATATCAACATAGGATAAGGGGCATCCAGACTGGGAAGAGTGCTGCAACACAGGATCAGAGTCAATTATTACCACCCGTTAGGTAATGTTTCTGTGTTACAATCATAATTAACTCAGCTAAATGAGCACTTGCTACATGTAGACACTGTATAGAAGGGTAGCCCTACTTTCCAGAAAAGAGTTCATTATAATATGCCAAAAATAATATTCAAAGCATATATAAAATCATATAAAATACAAATTTATGTAAGTTTAACAAGATTTTTTTTTTTTCCTTTTTGTCTTTTTTCGTGTCCGGCAACGGATCGCAACCCTCAGTGTCGTGCCCGTACCGGACCGGGACCGGCAACGGGATCGCAACCCTCGGTGCTGCGCCCGCACCTTGCTCAGCCAGTAAGCGGGAACCGGTCTGTATGTGGGATCCGAACCCTCGGCGGGAGCGCCGCCGCACTCCCAAGCAGCGCACTGTAGCAGTGCGCCACCAGGCCGGCCCTTAACAAGATTTTTTAAAGGAAAAATATGGTAAGATACATTAGTTCTTGAATGTTAAAGTACTCCCCCTAGAACTTATCAATGAAGGAAATAAGACTTCTGTCTGAGAGTTGAAGTTTAACATCCATATCTATTGAATTAGAACACAGATATGCAAAGCAAACTTAACAGTAAGAACTAAAATTTACCTGAGCAATTACTATGTGCCAGGCACTATTCTAGAAGTTTCACATGTATTACCTCATTTAATTATCATAAGAAACTAATGAAGATGTTTCTATTATTATCCCCATTTAACACATGAAGATATTTAAGTACAGAGAAGTTAATTAACTTACTCAAAGCAGTAGCTAATAAGGAAGAGCTGATACATGATTCTAGACTTGGCTTCCAAGCCTGAAGGCTGGACTAAAGAATGAGTTTATTAATAAAATGTCCTGTAACATGCTGAGCTAATGTGTTTGGACTCCACTCATGACACAAAGTATAGAGATACAGAATAAAACATATTTTTTAAAAAACATGGCTGAGATGTGGATTCTGTGAACATTCTGTGAAAACGATGAAACAGCATAGCTTTTTAATCTCTCTGAATACCCACAAAAAAAATAGAAAAACTTGAGAGCAAAAGCCCATGAAAAACACATATAACAAAACCAGCTAAAAAAGGTATCACTACAAACCACAAACCCACAGAAGCTGCATGGCACTAGAGTCTGCAGGAAGAAGAAAGAAGCAATGGGCAGCATCTGACTGATCTGAGAACAAGGGAACCCCCAAACAGCCACTGAGTCCCTGCTGGAAGCAAGCAGGCTGAAACGTAAGATACACATAAGGTATATATACTTTGCACACACACAAAAAACAGTACGTGCATGTTCGTAGCAGCTTTATTTGTAGTAGCCAAACACTGGAATCAGCCCAGATGTCCTTCAACAGGTGAATGGTTAAACTAATCGTGATACATCCATACCAAGGAATACTGCTCAGCAATAAAAATGAATGAACTGTTGATACATGCAACAACTTGGACGAATTTCCAGGAAATTATGCTGACGGGGGTGGGGGTGGTGGTGGAAAGAAGCCAATCAATCCCAAAAGGTTATACACTGTATGATTTCATTTACATAACATTCTTTAAATGATAACATTATAGAGATGGGGACAGATAAGTGGATTGCAGGGCTTAGGGAAGATGAGAGGGAGGGAGGCACTGTGGCTACTAAAAGGAATCACAAAGGATCCTGAGGATGAAACTGCTCTGTATCTTGAGTATAGTGGTGCTCAGATGAACCTACACATGTGATAAAACTGCATAGAAGGAAACAGAACTAAAGACACACAAGAGCACATGCAAAACTGGTGAAATCTTATAAGGTCAGTGAATTTTCTGGTCAATTTCCTGGTTTTGATATTCTTCCATAGTTATGCAAGATACCACCTTTGGGGAAAACTGGGTTAAAGGTATATGGAATTTCTGTGTTTTATTTCTTACACCTGCATCTACAATTATCTCAAAATAAGTTTTTAAAAAAATAACTAAAGGGAAAAAAAGATTTCAGAGAAAGTGACAAACATTGAAACAGGCAAAGGAGATCTTACTGAAGAAGAAAACCAAAAGGAACAGAAAAATATTAAAGACTGTAACTCAAGAAAACTTTTATGAAATTAAAAAAAAAATCCTACACATTAAAAGGGCACACATTTATACCTGAAATATCGTCCCAGAGTGACAAGCACCAAGACATGGTCTAGTAAAACTACTGGACTTTGAAGAAAAAGAAAAAAAAAATCTGTTTTATGAACATGTAGATTGAAAAAAAATAAATTTTTTAAAGAATCTGTTCAACTAGAAAAAGAAAGCACATGACTTATAAGGGAAAGAAAATTAAATTTTCACCAGATTTTGACAACAATGTTTTATACCAAAAGAAAATGGAGTAACACACCTCTACTATATTCAAGGAAAAAAATGTGAGCCATGAATTTTATACTGAGCGAAAATGACTTTCAAGTATAAAGTGTACAAATTATTGTCAACATGCAAGAATTTAAGGATTTAAGAATTTAATTTTTAATTCTGAATTTTAAATTTAAGAATTTAATTTTGAATTTAAAATTTTTAAAATTTTAAATTTTAAATTTTAAATTTAAGAATGTAAGGGATGCTGATCCCATAACCCTTCCTAAGGAATCTACTAGAAAAAAAGCTTCATACAACCAAAGTAACTCAAAAGACATCAGTATAAGGACTGGTAGTGAGAAATAACTATGTAATTACTCACAGAACTTAGCTTAAATGAGAGCAAAGAAGGAGAAAGTATAGTATGTGCTGGGTTTATGTTCTGACAATATAAATATAGCACAATACTATTTTTAAATGGGGTGGTTGATACTTGTATGAAATATATAGAAGAGGCAAACTCCTAGAGACAGGAAGTGAATTAGAAGTTATCAGGGGCTGGGAGCAGGGGAGAAAGGAAGTTATGGCTTAATGGATACAGAGCTTCTGTCTGGGATGATGTAAATGTTTGAGAAATGGATGGTGGTGGTGGTTGAACAACAGCGTGAATGTACTTAACGCCACTGAACTGTACACTTAAAAATGGTTAAAGTGGCAAATTTTATATTATATATATTTTACCACAATAAAAAAAAGAGGAGATGGATAGAACGTAGGCAAAACACACTTTAATGTTTTCAGTGATCATGTTGGTGGTGGTATTAGTACAGGTATTCTGACACTGTTGCACTGTATTATGGGATTAAAAAATGAGAAATTATGGGATTTCATAATTCCATTTTCCTCTGTATCCTTAAGAACCAGGATTCTTGATGTGGGAGAAAAGGAAATACAGATATAATAGAGGGGAAATTAAATAAAAGCTTGACTGTAGTCTTGAAATTGAATCATCAATATCAATATGAATTCAAGAGGTACTTAATCCTTCTATCTATAGGTATATGGAGATCTATCTAGATATAGATAAGAGAAATAGGTATAGATAGATTGAATAGATGTACATAAGTAGGTACAGATAGACAGGATAGTGGATGGAAGGAAGGAAGGAAGGAAGGAAGGAAGGAAGGAAGGAAGGAAGGAAGGAAGGAAAGAAATATATTCCTAGCTCTTTCCACTAAAAGGCCTAGAAACAATGACCAAGCAAGTAGTAATGAGCATCCCTAGCACCCAGATTTGGATTGGGAAGTGCCATTTCTCATTAAAACCTGGGCTTCTTGGAGAAATAGCTGATTCCAGATTTGGAACAGGACATGTCCCAAATGAGCCTGGAGAACTTGGTCACATCAGAGAGTAAGGAAGCTGTCAGTGACTACCGGGCCAGAGTCGAGGTTTGGCCATGGCACATTAATACTGTATCCTCACCCCACTTATGCCAGGAGAGGGGACAGTGATTCCCCAATAAGGCAGCATATAAGTCCCCAAGCCGAGAGTCAGGGTTCCTCTCCTGGAGCCTGATTTCTGATGCTGCCAGAGAGCTGTGGCCTGACCCAGAGTAGGAAAGGAAATGGCAGGTCTACAACTAGCTACGGATCCTGTCTCTGTGAGTTTCACAATGAACCCTGCCCCACCCCAGAACTTCTGGGCCTGCTTGGTCTTTGCTCTTGTTTGCCTGACAGCCAGAAATGATCAAGATGTATGTGTTTATTAAACACGGCTGCAAATTTCTTTGATATATACTTTTATATAAATGTACCCTAAAGCATGAAACAACTAGCAATATCATAAACTAGAAAAGAAATACAATGAGGACATGTCCATCTTTTATATCAAATGTGCTTTTCCAGATGTATGTAAATAAATTATAATTCATTTCACCTAGAGGGCTACCATAAACATATAAAACTGTCAACGTCTACATTATTAAATTATATGTAAAAATCATGTCATGGGTTGCAAAATAAAACATTTTGCTCTCTGTGGGAAACCAACCATGTGAAGTACAGAAGCAAATATCACATGAAGAAGAGAAGCCATTTATATCCAAGAGATTTTACAAGCATTTTTAAAACGCCTTTGGGTATTGATAGAATTTCTGCATTATACTTATAGAATAAGTGGCCATCTGCTCCAACAGATTGTTTAAAAAGAAATGGAGAAACCGTGGTAAATCTGTCTTCGAATTTAGAGGCGAGAGACTCTATTCACATGTTCAGCCAAGCCAGGTAACTCTTCCCTGTTGGGCTGATTGCAGCTCAGTGCAAAGACTGTTTCAGATTTTCCTTAGGTCAGCTGGGCTTTCTGCTAGGGACTCCTTAATCCTAATAATCTGTATTCATGGAATGCTCTTTGGCAGGGGTATTTAGCATTCACTCACAGCTAAGAAAAATTTGCAATGGCTGTAAATGATCACAATTTAATTTTCTGTTAATGAGATTGATACGAGTTCAATGTGTTCCCCAAAGTTCCATGTATCAGAAACTTAATCCCCACTGTGTTGATGTTGAGCAGAAAATCCTACTATGGTAATTGAAAAGTGGGTCCTTGAAGATGTGATTAGATTAGATTATGAGGACTGTACCCTCGGGAATAGATAGATCCATTCACGGAGTGATAGGTGTGGTTCTAATGGCTTTAGAAGGAGAGTAATTGACAAGCTTAGTTCTCTCTCACTTAAGCCATTTTGCCACATGACACACTACGTCACTGTGAAGAGTCACCACCCACCAACAAGGCCCTCACCAGATGTGTTCCCTGGACTTTGGACATCCTGGCTCCCAAAACTGTAAGAAAAAATTCTACTTTTTATAAATTACCCAGTTTCAGGTATTTATTTTATAAGCAAACAGATATGGATTAATACAGAGGTTAAGGTCTGTGTTTCTACCCTAAGGCAGAAGAGTTGAGAAAATTATTATTATTATTATTATTAGCTTTCACTGTTGCATGGCACAGGCTAGCTACCACACAAGTGGCCAGATGACAGAGAAGATGAATCAGCTCATCACTATGCTTGGGAAAATGCCGAAGAGTGAGCAACACATTCAAGTGGGTGAGACGACACTGTAACCGAGACAACACAGTCTAGCAGATAAAGACTATGACCCCTTCTCTCAGAGAAGGCAAGAAAGCGGCATCTGTAGGAAATGAACAGGTCACAAAACAGGCTGGGGAAAATGAAGAGGCTGCATTTTGCTTGCCCAGCCTGAGTTCTACCCTACCGATTCCTGATAAATACCTGTCAAAGATCCGCTGCGGCTGCATCACGCTATTGCAAACATGAGTCAGGTGATCTTGAGCCGCAACCACTTCAGGAGGGGGGTCATATTTATTCACTGCCTCCACCTTTTCCAGAATTAGAAATGTAAAAGAAAAAAAAATTTTGTTTCTAAAAAAAAAGATAAGGCTTAGATTTTCTTTAATAAAATAATCTAGACATGCAATCAGGTATACAAAATAATTTAACCCATGCTCATGAACCTTTGCATTCAGTCTTCATGTGTAGTCCAACTTTCCTAAAACCTAAATAATGACAATTATTTTAAAATATGGAGTGGAGTTCTTTGATCCCCTCCATCCTCATACTCCCTGGTTTGCAAGGGGAAAAGGCAAAAAAACAAAAAGTCCATGAATACTTTTAATATAGTGAACATTCCAACTTTAAGTATGAGAAGGAATAAAATTTAAAGCTGTAAACTCCAGGTAGTTGATATTGGGGAATTTTTTTCTCATGGCAGCTCCTTAAAACTATTCCCATCATCTCAAATTCTACCAAAACTTCCTCCTCTTAGCATAACCTTCTTCATTCAAGGATATAGGCCTTTCCTTCCTAATGCACAGTGCTCTAGCCCATGGTCTTTGCCATCCCTCTCAATCCATTATCCTCATCTACCTTTACTTAACATGTGGTTTTAAAATTTACTCCCTTTGCAAAACATTAAAGGGAAAGAGAAGTCTAATAAGAACCTTTGAGTATGAGAATAATAACAGGCTAGCATCTGTAACTATTTTTAACAGAGATTTCAGAAAGGCATTTATGAGATGGAATATGTACTTCTCTACGTATTTATACCTGTTTTCATTCCCATCTCAAATTTGCATTCAGTGTAAGAGATTTCAGCTGTCACCAGCCACTAAAGCAAGACAAAGCAGGTGCCAGCATTCAAGGTCTGGTTACTCTGAAATCGTGTGATCAGATGAATCATGATTTTAAAAAGAATTAAGAATTAACAATATCAGAATAGTGATTTATTTGAGTACCATTTCATTATGTGGAGAAGGACATTATAATCAGTGTTAAATGAATTTTTAAAGTAACACAGAATCATATACCCTCCAAATGACAGTTAACCGAAATGACGGTCTGCATTAACACTGCCAGCCTAGGTAAGTGGACAGTGCTTCTGTCCCCCATTGCTAAGCTTTTCACTGTGCCAGCAGCAGGCCTTTCACGGCATTTGTGTCGATGCTCAGCTTTGCAGAGGATTAAACTGACAGACCCTAGGACATGGACACATGTCCTAAATAAAGAATTCATTTATATATTCTTACGTTTCTCATTTATTGATCGTATTGGTTCTGCAGCAGGCAGCATAAGCTTTGGAGCATGTTAACCATAAACACATGAAATGACAGGATCACATACCTTTTCTTCCACTTTAATCTTCTTCTGATCTAATTCTGTTAATCGCAGTAGCATAAAAATTACGAAGAACCAATATTCAGATTTTTCCTATTTAAAACACCAAGAGGACTAGTCAATTGCCTTCCTTTACCCAGATCAATAGGCACCAGCGTTCTATCTTCAGGAGCCTGGATCTTCCACCTGCTACCCCCTCATTCCCACACACACCCTCGCAGGTCTCTACATTCCACGCTTACCAGTCCCCTTATGTTAATCAAATGCAGATCGTGCCTTGTAATTTATTAAACTCTTCAAATGTGTGACCTCATTCATCTCCCTGTGAGATTAGCAGGATGGTAGGATTATCCACATTTCTAAAGAGGAAAACAACCAAGCCTCAGAGAGGTGAAGTGTCTCATCTAAGGTTCCATGGCCAGTGACTCAAATCCTGTCTTCTGACTCCAAAGAGTTTCATTATATTCAGTAAATAATGAAGCTTTATTATTCATTATTTACTGAATAAAATGAAACACTATAATTTACTATTACAGTCACGCTCTTTATAACAACGTTTCAGTCAACAACGGGCCACATACGACAGTAGCTGTACCATATAGCCTAGGTGTGTAGTAGGCTATGCCATCTAGGTGTGTAAGTGAATTCTACATACAATGTTTGCATGATGACAAAATCACCTAATGATGCATTTCTCAGAAAGCATCCCTGTCATTGTGATGCATGGCTATATTTCATTTATTTTTATATTATTTCATATTAATTTATATTACTTATAAATTGGCTTTACAATAATAAAATAATATTCATTTATAAAACAAATTTCTTATTTCTCCCTATCATCTGCTGTATTAGGATTACCTGCCTTTTAGAAATATAATTAGAGGTTTTTGTATTAAGAAGCTACATCTCTGTTAAGGGAAAGAAATTCATGGAAGATGCCTCTTACAGATGAGAATGCACATAAAGTGAACAACAAAGGTATCTTTTATGTACCTCCATGTGCAAATGTTGCTGGGGTTGTATATAAATGAGTTGACATGCACAAAAGGGTTCATGATGTTCATTCATGGATACGCACACTCTTCATGGATCTGAATTGGGGTGTGACGGTCACTTTAAGCCCTGCTCCTTACTTTCCCAGAGATGCTTTTTTTTTGGTCCTTTTTGAGACCGGCTGCACGCACTCAGCCAGTGAGCACTGTGAGTGCACCAGTCATCCCTATATAGGATCCGAACCCGCAGCGGGAGCGCTGCTGAGCTCCCAGAGCCGCACTCTCCCAAGTGCGCCACGGGCTCCGCCCACCAGAGATGCTTTGAAATTGCCCGCTGTGGCGCAATCGCTGTGGCGCAATCGGGAGAGTGCGGCGCTGGGAGCGCAGCAGCGCTTCCACCGCGGGTTCGGATCCTATATAGGAATGACCGGTGCGCTCACTGGCTGAGCGTGGTGTGGGCGACACCACACCAAGGGTTGCGATCCCCCTACCAGTCCCGAAAAAGACAAAAAAATAAATAAATAAATAATAAATTGCCTGCCACCATTCCCACACCAAGGGCTATTTTTATTTTGAAATCTTTCTTCTTTTTTTTCTTTTTGATTTTGTTGTAAATTTTATGTTCAGACATGTTCATTAAGATACACACAAAAAGAAAGGTACTAAGAGATATGTACGAAGTCAAAAGTCTGTGGAAACATTAAGTGGAGGATATAAGTAGAAAGATGGGATGAAGGACAGATGGACAAGGAGGGAGGGGAAAGAGGCCAGGAGAAAGGATCTATCACTGGAGAGGAAAACAGGGACCTGGAAAACAGTCCCCGATCCTTGAGTCCCGAAGGTTAAGAACCCCTAGGAAATATATTATTTTGTTCTATAATTATTTTACAACCATATCAATTTCATGACTATCTCAGGTAAATTACCTTAGATTTTTTCTTCCCTGTTATAAAATAGGAACCATACTGGCATCTTGCCTCCTCTAATGTAAAAGAACATTGCTCTGCAATCTGATTAGCTCCCTCCTGTGATCTTTAGTCCCGCCCAGGATAAGTCACAGCTGACCACGCACAGCAGGTAAATGATCAATTTCAGGCTTTACTTTCTCTCACAGCAGAGTCAAGAAAGATCTTATTTCTAAAAATCAAGCCTTTAAGTCCTACTTAACCCTTCTAATTGTTTCCTAAGAGACAGAGAATGAAGATAAACAAACTGTATTCACATTCCTGATGTTTTTTATCAAAAGTGCTTCTTGGAAAAGAATTCCAAGATAGTCCTCATCCGCTTTCCCCTCCCTGATTAAATGGTCTCTCACCTGAATTGGATTTCTTAGAAGACTGAGAATTCGAAGGATAGGTAGGTTTTCAATGTATTCTATTTCACTCAGCTCAGCAATCTGTTCAATCAAAGAAACAAATTATCATCAACAGACTAAATGCAGAAAGACAATAGGAAACATAGTTCCTCTAAGAATACTATATAACTGTTCTGGCAAAATTTCACTTTAGGTCGTCTGGGATGCTGCTGTCCCTACACCTTCCGTGAAAGCTGGTTACACACACAGGGTCTTGGGTCTGTGGCCTTGGTGGAGAGGAGAGGTAAGGGTGGGATCTGCTGCAGGTGACGGTGTGCAGCAGAGAGAGGGGCCACATAGGACAACCAGTATCTGCTGCACTTTGCCGATTCAGCTGAACCCCCAGGACGCCTACACTTGCACCCCTCTTAGCAACCTCGTCCTACTCTTGGAAGGGGAACACAGATGCCCAAGGCCCCCGGGGTTCTGGATCACTGTGGAAGGAGGCTAGATGGCACCTCTATCCCCCAGTCACCTGAGTGGGGAGCCTGGGACCCCTCTTCAGCAAAATCTGCCTTACCCACCACCTCCAATCTGTCCTATTAGTTCTACCTCAGGAATCTTTCTGGAAGCCAGCATTCCATCTCTTTCCTCACTAGCACTGCTTTATGTAAGGCCCTCATCGTCTCAGGTCAAACAATTCCTCTCATCTCCAGTCTCTGTCTCCTCTCTCCATCCAGCAGGAAAACACTGGAGCCTCACTTCTTTTATACAGTCATTCTAGAATCTTATTACATGCACCTTAAACACCAACCAAGCACTTGATGGAACAGAGGCAAATCTGGGTGCTCCCGAGGGCTCCTGAGAGTCATGCATTCAGTCAACAAAAACTCTTGAGTGCCAACTACAAACTAGGCATTGCACAGAGTAAACAAGATAAGATCCCTGAGCCCGTGAAGCTAACATGCTAGTGGGAAAGAAAAATCTTTACTCCTAAAGATGTAAAAATATGATATATCATATAATGTGATATAATATTATAATATCTTACATTATGATATAATGTTATAATATATAATATGTATAATATATAATATGATATATGATATTACTTGGGCAGTAGTAAGTACTAATGATAAATAAACTAGTGTGAAGGAATAAAGAAAACAGGGAGTAGACACTGGAGAGACCAGAGGTGGTCAGAGGCCTTTTTTGGAGAGGATTTGCATAGAAGCTTAAATGACATGGAATGAATTGTTTTGAAAATTTGGGGAAAATCTTCTAGCAGAGATGTCAGATGTTATAAAGCTCCTGAGGTGGAAATAAGCTTGGTCTGTATGAGGATTAGAAGAAAGTTCCTGCAAGTTGGCATTCCAACCCCTTCTGCAAGGGAGCCCTCGGCTCCACCAGCTGCCACTAGGAGTGCTGGTCTCCTCCCCAGTCACATGAACTGGCTGTAACAGGCCCTCTGTCCTGCACTGCTGGCCTAACCAAGTCAGCTGGCTGTGGCACACATGGCCTCAGGTCAGCAGCCTGCATTCTAGTGAGTCAGCGCTACAGCTAGGCAAGGGACAATTGAGCAGGCTGACTCCACTGCCACGAAGCCAGGTCACCAAGAAGCAGGCCAAGTCCACCACCACGACGCAGGCATTAAGTAAGGGGCCGTGGGCAAAGAGTAAAGTCACATTAGCCTTGGGCCAAAAGTTCAATGTGTATTTGAAAAGTGAAGAGGCAGCATCAGGACCTGGGCTCAAGGCATGCACCCATCATCCGCGCTCTGCAGAGAGCCAAGGCTATCCAGAGAAAGCAGTGGCTGGGACAGCTTCTGCTGCCTTTGTGACTATATAGCAGCTCAGGCTGCTCTGCCTTGGCCAGCTGCTCTGGATGTAAAGAGGCCAAAATCCTCAGAGGGTCCTCCTTCCTGTCTGCATCCCATGGCAGTGGTACCTTGGCCAGGTGGAATGGAGACTGATTTTAGCAGGAGCCCTCATCACGCCAGCACCTTCTATACCCAGCCCCAGCCACCTCTGCATCACTGTTGTCAGCCCCTGGAGACCCCAGGTGCCCTAAGGAATTGTCTGATCCAACTCCTCTCTTTACAGGCCTAACAAACTTAAATCCAGAGAGAAATAAGGTTCACTTAGAAGCCAGATTGTATTTAATTCCTTGAAAATTCCTTTTGCTCGCATACATGAACAGAAGTGGAGAGTGACAAAAGGCCCCCAAACAAAGGACCTTTGAAAGGACCTTTGGAAACCACATTCAAACTATCACACGTAGGTACTACGATGTTCCGAGAGCTAAAACCAAGTAAATATAATATTGATGAAATATTATATTTATACTAATAAAACAATATTCCCAACATCAAATTAATCACATGAAAAGCAGAAGCTATGTTAGGTTTCTTTTAAATGACACATTTTTCCATCCCTGATACACAGTATTATCAGTAGACCTGGAGAAATCTCTGAGGAACTCTTCCAATGCCTCAAAGAATATTTCAAAGTACTATTGGTTCTCCCCGACCTGCCCAGTGGGGAGCCAGGGAATTATGTTATCGTCACGGACCCAATTGTTGCCAAAGGATCCCCCTTTGGGACACAAGGCCACTTATTTTTGGTGGAGTCTCTTTAACATTTGAAAATTATAAACTCCTTTCTTCATTTAATGATACTCCTTTTTTCTTTAAACTTTTTCAAATGTAATTTGAAAAGTCTCTTGAAATGAAAGACAGTAATATACTCCGATCCTTCCAATACGGTAGCTACTAGCACAAGTGGCTACTTAGCACTTGAAGCATGGCTGGGAGGAATAGAGAGATACTCTAAGTGTGAAATACAACCAGATGCCCAAAACTTAGCATGAAACAATAAAAGATAATATATCTCATCAATAATTTTGAATACAGATTACATGTTGAAATGATAATATTTGGGGTATATGGGGGTAAGTCAAATACATTAAAATTAATTTCACCTGTTTCTTTTTACATTTTTTATGGTGGCTTTTAGGGAACTTCAAATAATATCTGTGGCTCACATCTGTGGCTCGCATTATATTTGTAGCAAGCCATAAAACAATGTTATGATGAGGATTAACTGAGATACGTAAAATGCTTAGATCAGTGCCTGGTGTGTAAAGTACTCAGCGAATATCTCTAGATCATTCTGTGACTGTAATTGTTACTATTATCATTACTATTACTCCTTTTCCTAGATCCTGAGATGCAATGAGTTGGAATTTAATGAGTGCATTCCACGTTTCCAACACCCCCTGTATTTATGTGAGAACCATTTTAGGTAGGAAATTTTTTTGAAAATCAATCTTCAATGGCGATTGCATGAAAAGGACATCAAAACCATATGAAATAGAGATTATGCTGACTTCCTAAGACACAGGGCACAGTGAACAAGGGTCACGCACTAGAACTTAAGAAGTCACCAAAACAATTTAATATATAAATCAGGTGAGCCTGAGGATGAACAGTTTTGTTTGTGATTAAAAATCCACTTATTCCCAAACCTAATGACTGACTTTTCTTGATTTTTAGCAACCTACAGGTGATGGAAGTTTGTGGGAGAAAAAGCCATCAGACAAAACTGATAAGCGCCACCACAGCAGAGCAGAGCCAGGTCTTCACATTGTCACATCTTGCCCCAGCACTGACTGTCTCTCTTAGGGTTGGGCCAAATTTTCATTTTTAAGAAGAAATAAACATTTATCTTTCTTATGAAATCTTTCCCCCCAAAATGTGATAAAGTACTCAATATGAAAAAAATCACTTTGTAGACCTTATTGCATAAGAAATCAGTCATAGGTACCAACTTAATATGCCATGATAAGGATTTAACAAATGCTTTAATTAAAAATAAAATGTAATTAAGAATGAAAGCCAATTTACATAATTCTTCAGGTAAAGTGTTCATTAAGCTATCCGTGCAAGATTGACTAAGACCAATCCCCAACTCATCATGCAGATCAGGGACTTACACTATCGTTATTACCAATTGGGTGTAAGAATTCACTTCCTGTGTCTCTTTATTTTTAAAATGGTTTAAGCCTTTCCTAGAGTATTTGCATTTAAAAAATTTATATTGGGCCGGCCCGGTGGCACACTGGATAGTGCACCGCTTGGGAAGCGCGGCGGCGCTCCCGTCCGAGGGTTCGGATCCCACATACGGACCGGTTCCCGCTCACTGGCTGAGCGGGGTGCGGGAGCAACACCGAGGGTTGCAATCCCGTTGCCGGTCCCCGGTCCGGTACGGGGGCAACACTGAGGGTTGCGATCCGTTGCCGGACACGGAAAAAAGACAAAAAAAAAAAATTTATATTGACAGATAAAACCATATGTATTTATTATGCACAACATGATGTTTTGAAATACATATACATTATGGAATGGCTAGATCTAGCTAGTTAACATATTCATTACCTCACAAAGTTATCATTTTGTGGTGAGAACATTTAAAATCTACTCTCTTAGCATTTTTCAAAAATACAATACAGTCAGTCCTCCATTTCCAGAGCTCCACGTCTGTGGATTCAACCAACTATGGATCAAAAACATTCAGGAAAAAAAAATACACAAAGTTCCAAAAAGCAAAACTTGAATTGGCTGTGCCAAGTACTACAATGAATCCATGCAAATAAAGTGATGTGTAGGCACTGTATTAGGTATCATAAGTAATCTAGAGATGACTTAAAGTATACAGGAGAAGGTGCATAGGTTATATGCAAATACTATGCTATTTTGTATCTACAGCTTTTGGTATCTTTGGGGGGTCTTGGATCCTAACCCTCACGGATACTGAGGGATGACTATATATTATTATTAACTATAGTCACCATGTTGTACAGTAGGTCTCTTGAACTCATTCCTCCTAGCTAACTGAAATTTTGTATCTTTTGGCCAATATCCCCCCACCTCTCTCCACCCCTCACCCAGTTTTCTCTTTAAATTGTAGGCATAGGGAAACACCAGCCTGAGGCTATTCTCATATCTCTAATTTCCTTGCTCTGACATTTTAGACATTCGTAATCTGCACAAAATTTTGCATGAACACATCTACTTCAGGAAATCAGGTGCATGTGGTTGCAGTTTAAACCTATACAATAAGGTAATTAGGAATCATCAAATTTTCAAAAATTAAGAATTCTAAGTATTTTTAAAAAACAGTCCTGCAACTACTGCTCTAGGAAATTTGCTAGAATAATATTTCTAAGCTGGCATTTAATGTGACAGCCCTTGAGAACCCAAAAATGGGGTGTTTGTGCTAAGGTCTTTAATATGTCCTCTTGTGTAGACATTGAAACCAAGATGTGTAAAGTATGACATTACCTTATTATCCTCTAGGTTGATAACTTCCAGGAGGTCATGATTCTCTAAGCCTTTGAGGCTACTTATCTGATTGTGGGACAGATCCAGGTTCTGCAAGACTTGCAGATCCTCTAAACCTGTGATCTTCTCAATCTGGTTATTGCTCTAAAATGGACAAAATACACTTAATGGCCTCTCGTAGGAAAAGTTGTAATGGCAAGTGTTCATTTTGGATACTGCGCCAGATCTCCTAAAATACCAACAAGCCATTTTTGTCCCTCCCCACCCTGCCCCGTCTCCATCATTCACTCCCTGAACACATACACACACCCCAGAAAGAAATCCCTGTTTCTCAGGTAGAAGATAGGTTATAATATTATCATTAACATTCAAGCAAAATGAGCATTCAAATCAGTAGGAAAGACAAAAGCTAGGTAGTATAAGCTTTTAACATTGCACACCTAAAGTCTAAGGGCAGCATAACTCCATGTTTATCTTTAGAAATATAAGTTTAATGCAATTCTTTCATCGCCATCACAATAAACCACTTGAATATTGTAATTCCCACATATGCTTTGTTTTCAGAAACATTCTAAATATAGTGACTTTATATTATGAGGACTGTGGTGGTCTGTTACCTTGGTGGCCTCCAGTTATTCATGCTCTTGTGCAGTTCCCACCTCTTATATCTAGGCTGGAACTATGACTTGCCTTAACTAAAAGACATAGCAGAAGTGTGCCAGTTCCACACCTATGACTTAAGAAGGTCTGGAAGCTTCTCCTTTCATGTCTTGGGAGCCTTGAGCTACCATGTCAGAACTCCAGGCACTCTTTTGGAGAGAACTTGTAGTGAGAAGGAGAAGTCACATGCAGAGAGGCCCTGAGATTAAATAGAGAGAAAACCCCAGCCATCTCAGCCTTCCAAGGGAGTCAAGCCCCTAACCAATATGGCAGCTGAATGCAGCAAGCCAAGCAGAAGAACCACCCAGCTGAACCCAGCTCAGATTACAGAATCATTAGCTAATAAAATGGTTATTTCTCCAACTCATTACAGTGAGGGTGGCCTGCATACAACAGATAACTAAACTAAGTTCTTCAATAATTCACACATAAGCATCCTCTCAGACATTGAGAATAAAATAGATTCAAGACTTCAATGTTGCCCTCTTCTTCAACCTCCATGTACCCATAACAACAAATAAAAACAATAATTTGCATTTTCTTGTACATTTTTCAACATACTTCATCTTTCCTTGGGTTCCTTATCCTTGAGGTATAAGAAAATGTTATAGTAAAACTAAACTGTAAGTTTGAGCCAAGAATCTTAATAAAGAGTAATTTTGAGGTTTCAATTAATGTCATGTTGTACCCATTCTTATACTTTTAAAACCTAATAAGCATTTAAGAACTAAAATATTAAATCATAGTAAAACTAAACTGTAAGTTTGAGCCAAGAATCTTAATAAAGAGTAATTTTGAGGTTTCAATTAATGTTATGTTGTACCCATTCTTATACTTTTAAAACCTAATAAGCATTTAAGAACTAAAATATTAAATTATAGTATTCTCTTCCATCTACAAGATTTTTCCTGGTACATGTTTCCTGGTATATTTAATAGCAAGAGCAATTTTCATGCTATTTTTCATACAATTTTACTTAATGAGCAAGATTTGTGTTCATTAGTATAATTCTATGGCTCTTTAAAATATGTTAATAAAATGCTGATAATCTATAAAGCTGGGAGATAGCACATGAGGGCTTATTATCCTATTCTTTTTACTCTTAAAATTTTCATAACAAAAAGAAAAACTATTCATAATCCCATTTGCCAAAGTGAAATCAAATTTCCTTCTGTTCAGAGTTCAAAAAAGTTACAGAAAGTGTACTAGAGAAGGAAAAGAAAAAAGCACACTACACTGAACATCATATCCAAATTAATTTACTATATTGAAGTAAAACCTCAATATCCTATTCAAAATATGCCCATACATCAAATTTATATACAATACACTTCTTCCCAAGTGCTTTAGATGTGGCAGATAGACTGTAATTCTTCACAGTGCCTCTGATGGCTTTCAAAGTGGAAGGTGATATGAATTGAGTGAGGCACAGAAAAGTTTAATTAGCCTGTGGTCATCAAAGAAACCAGAACTGAGAAAATTTCAGAATCACAGAATTTCTGAATTGAAAGGCATATAGTTAAGTACTTTATCCAGTGCAAAATAACTGATGCATCACTCCTAAAAGTGGCATCAGTTTCTGCATGAACAATTCTGCTCATTTTATAATGATTAGCAGGGAAAAGACTTTCAGAGAGAAGTTATTTTCTTAAATAAATGAAATCAGAAACATTCTTAATCTTCCAGTTTGGGACAGAAAAAACAAGTGGCTTTTACTATGACAAAGTGAATTTTAAAGTTTGGGAAACATTGTCATTACTTGCTAAAAAGCTGGGTGACAGAATAGCTCATTAATGAACCACATTTTCCCCTCACATTTATCGTAAGAGATGATGGTCGAGAATTAACGATTGGTTCATACCGTGAGCTGTTCTTTTTCTAAATTGTAAAAAGAATTATTTTCAACAGTAACTAAATGGTTTTCTGATTCCACAAATTAAAAATAAAAGTGTTAAAAACTGTTTAAACAAGTGTGTATCATTTTATCTTATAGATTTTATTAAAATTTGGAAAAGAAAACCTTCTGCAGTGGATTGAATGTCCCCCTGAAGTCACTGAAGCTTAATCCCCACTGTAACTGTCGAGGGTGGGAAATCCGATTATGATAATTGAAAGATGGGGCCTTGAAGAGGTGATTAGATTGTGAGGACCATTCCATAGTGAATGGATTAATAAGTTGATGGTTTAATGGCGGTCATGGGCGTGGATCTGAGGGCTTTAAAAGGAGAAAGTGTGAGGAGTTAGCTCTCTCTCTACTCTGCCATCCAACACATGTCACCTTGAGTCACTGAATAGAGTCACCAACAAGAACAAAACCTTCACCAGATGTGTTCCCTGGACTTTGGACTTCCCAGCCCCTGAAATTGTAAGCAATAAATAGTTTCTTTATAAATTACCCAATTTCAGGTATTTTGTTATAAGCAACAGAAATGGACTAATACATCTACCTGTTCTCAAAAAATTTAAGGATAATCAATAACAGCATATTCTGTATTTTCTAGTTCATCTTGGGTGATGGGGGTGGAGATTGGGAAATACTCAACTAAATCTATTTGTAGAAAAAAATAAGTATTTTATGCTATTTCTAAAATCTATTTCCGACAGAATTGTTAACAGGGGTAACTAGTTATTGAAACAAACTTTTAGGATGAAAGTGCTATGTGCTATTATTCTTAATAATGAGATAAATTCCCTTTCTCTTAAGTACACCCCCAGATCTCTTTCGACTTACACTCTACTTAAAATTAGTGGGAATGTCAATACAGAGAACATATGTAGAGAAAAGAATATGGTTCTAACAAAGTACAAAATGAATAGAACATACTGCCAATAAGCATTCAGATCATCATAATTTTAAAACATAGCTTTCTTTTATAATTTAAAATTTTTCAATCCAATTTATCAAATTCATTTTCATTTATGCTTTGCTAACATGCCTTCATAGGCAGAAAACATGAAACCTAAGGGAAATTATGAAACCTTTCCAGCCTTAGTGTCATCCTCAGTCCTGGGGTGCCAGTACTTTACCCTCACCTACCTCACTGCAGGTATGGATGGGTCTCAACAAACACTTTGAGCTCTAAGCTCAGGGGAAAAAAATTTAATACATAGCCAATCTTTAGTGATCTGTGGTTAAATAAGACAGGAGTAGTATATTGTATAAGTTAAAAATCTGCAGATAAACCAAGATGTCATTTCAAACATTAGTTCGACACCCTCCTATGGGATAGTTCACATAAGAAATTCATAAGCTATAAGCTTCATGGCTTGAATTCATCCCTGCCGACCCTGTCACAGATGTAATGAAGAACTACAAAGGCATGCAAGGGTAAGAAGTAGGAGAGAGGAGGAAAGAAAGAACAATCCTGGATAATCCACAAACAATATTATTAGCCCCCAAATGAGCGAACCATACTGTTATTTTTTAAATATTGTGTATATCTTTGGAGCTATTATGATCCTGCTGATTTCTTTGTAAATGGTCTCTATTTTCATTGAGTCATAGTCACACAGCATGTCACATAGCTTAAGAAGAGTGCTCTCCATGGGGAAAAAATAATCAAACTTAAACTTTCTGACTGCAATTGCTCATTTATTGTCAGCACTATTTCTGATTTCCTACAATGGGTGACTACCATGTATTAATATAAAAGGACTGCCAAAACTCAGTGCCCAGGAAACATCTTGTGGTTCATTTGAAGGCAATAAAGTCTCAATAGCAATAAATGTTATGCTTAAATGTTATTTTCACCAATACAGTATTATAAAGCTGATTTTAAATACTTGTTAGAAGTATACCTCTCTTTTCCAGCATAAAAAGTCTACTTTTTAAAAAACTGAATTTGGCTATCAAATTAGAAAATCATTTTACTTAGCATGAAATATTGATCACACATGCACGTGCACACACACACAAATACAGATATAGGAAGGAGCAAACAAAACTTCGATTTTAAATACTTGTTAGGAGTATACCTCTCTTTTCCAGCATAAAAAGTCGACTTTTTAAAAAACTGAATTTGGCTATCAAATTAGAAAATCATTTTACTTAGCATGAAATACTGATCACACATGCACGTGCACACACACACAAATACAGATATAGGAAGGAGCAAACAAAACTTAAGACAGTAACATTTCATGAAGAGGTTTGCTGTTCAGACATTTAAAATACCCTACGTAGTCATAATTCATACATTTACTAAAATGTTAACTACTATTTGTATAAAGAATAACATTTTTATTAGACTCACCAGGCAAAGTATTCTGATTGGTAACGTGTTTAAGCCATTAATTGCTGTGATCTTGTTGTTGGCCAAACTAAGGTGAGTTAAATTGCCACACATCTCTAGTCCACTGATTTCTTCTATCTCGTTGCCTATATACCATAAGTATGTTTAAGGAAAATGTCATTAAAAACATTTTGAAGAAAAAAAGAATTAGCGGTAAATTATTACTAGTAAAAAATCAGACAGCAGCTTAAATAAAGCAGTATTATATGCCCAATATACTCGTGGGATGAACACTAAATCCTGAAATATATTTTTCACATAGAATATGTTATATTCTCTATGAAATTTATCTTTTTAAAGGCATCGCTTTGCATTCATATGTGACATTTAATCGGTATGAAAAGACATACCACAGTGGTTCCCAGCTGCTCCTCAGCAGTGTGTTTCCCTGGTTAGCTATCAGTCTCCATGAGAAACTCATGTGCTTTCCCACAGGCAGGACTTCTGAATACAGGGTCACCCTGCTGAGGCCACATGCACCAAGCTCTATCATCCTCATAACTAGGGGAAAGCCTGAGAGATGTCATTTGTAGCCAATGAGTGGTCCAAAGACCACTACCCTCCTAGAGAGAGGAACAGCCCTTTTTTCCTGTCTATATTGACTTTTCTCCTTTTAAAATAAATGAGGCTTAAATGCTGCCTTAATTTCCTCATCCATTAAGTTTTCATTCATTGATACAATTTTAACTTATCTTGTATGTTCCATCCTTGTAGTCACCTGAAACCACAATCTCAAAGTCACCAATTCCACTTAGTTCTCTATGTTGTCAATCTCTTTGACCAGTTTCCAGAATTTAATCTCATTTCCCCATCAAACCTCAGTTTTCCTCTCAATTAGTCTATGACTGCACCATTTCTCAGTCTCTGATAATCTGCAGGGAATCTAACTGACCACCAAGACCTGGCACTTTTTTCATTTAAAATATCTCTTTAATTATTCACTTCCTTTTTATTCACTCCTCTGCCAAACTAACTCACCTTTGGCACCAACAGTTACCTCTGATATCCATTACTTCCTGTGCTCAATTACTGTACACACTGTAGTCAGGTTAATTTTTTCAAAACATTGATTGGATATCACGTTTCAATTAAAAACTTCTCATAGGATGCCAAAACCAGAACAAGGTATCATCTCACTCCAGTTAGAGTGTCTGTTATCGAAAAGACAGAAAATAGCAAACGCTGGCAAGGATGCAGAGAAAAGGGAACTCTTAGACACTGTTGGTGGGAATGTAAATTAGTACAGACATTATGGAAAACAGTACAGAGATTCCTCAAAAAACTAAAAATAGAATGACAATATGATCCAGCAATCCCGCTGCTGGATATTTATCCCAAGGAAAGGAAATTAGCATACTGGAGAGAGATCTGCACGCCACGTTTATTGCAGCACTATTCACAATAGCTAACATATGGAATCAACCTACGTGTCCATCCACAGATGAATGGATAAAGAAAATGTATATATACGCAATGGAATTCTACTCAGCCATAAAAAGAAATGAAATTCGGTCATTTGAGGCAACATGGATAAGCCTGGAAGACATTATGTTAAGTAAAATAAGTCAGGCACAGAAAGATAAATACTGCATGTTCTCACTTATACATGGGAACTAAAGAAAAAAAGTTGAGCTTATAGAAGTTGAGAGTAGAATTGTGGTTACTAGTAACTGGGAATGGGGGGATAGAAAGAGGTTGGTTAACAGATACAAAAATCACAGCTACAAAGGATAAGTAAGTTCTAGTGGTCTACAGTAGTTCTAGGCATCTATCATTAACAATATTGTATGTTCTCAATTGAAGAGAGGAGCTCAAATACTCTCATCTCAAAGAAATGATAAATTTTTGCAGTGATGAATATGCTAATTACCCTGATTTGATCATCACACATGTGCACATGTATTGAAATATAACTCTGTGCCCTATAAATACATACAATCAGTATGTGTCAATTAAAAATTAATTAAGTTAAATTAAATCCAGGACAGATAAGAAAAAATTCTCATAGGATGAATTCCAAATTCCTTACTCTGGCATTTAAGGCTTTTCACTATAAGCAAAACCTATTCATCCAATTTCATCCCCATTGTAATCCAATGAGAATTCCCTATTTTTGCCAGGTCAATCCTCTCAATAGTTCTAGAATATACCAAGAACTTTCTTACCTAGCAGGATATCCTTTTTTCATACTGCTTTCCTGCTCCTTTCTAAATGCTACCTATTCTTTAGGACTTAACTCCAAAGTCTACTTTTTTTTTTTTTAACATTTATATTAAACCAATGTCATATGTTTTTTGTTTTTTTGGGGGGGGGGTTTGACAGATAACCCTTATTTTCTTACTAATTCTCTTTTAGTACCTTTTAATTACACAAGAAGTACAAATGACAGACTGGGAGAACATATATAATATCTAATATATACTTATATATTAGATATTATATATATCTAATATATAAAATATATATTAGACAAAGGATTACTAACTAGAATACATTTTTAAATGACAATAAATCAGTAGAAAAAAAGACAAAACACCCCAATAGAAAATGGACAAAGAACACGTCCAGGCAATTTCCAGAAGAGCAAATCCAAGTGGCTAATAAACATATGAAAAGATGTTCTGCTTAACCTGTTGCAGGAGAATACCAACTAAGATAAGATGCCGTTTGTCACCTGTCAGCTTAGCAAACATTTTAAAGTGCAAGCTTTTGAAGAGCAGATACTTTTATACTACTGGGTGAGAGGGGTCCCAATTGTAAACATCCAATTCCACTTTTTGGTATTCACTCTAGACAAACTATTTCTTTCTCAAATCCTTTTCTGGTCAACTTATAATTCCCAGCTATCTCCTTCCATCAATCAGAGAATCAAAAAAAAAAAATTTAAAGAGGAAGGAAGGGATCATAAACATCATAAAACATACATATTTGCCTCATAATTCTTTGTAATTATTCTAACTCTCCTACTTACTAGTTATATAACCTAACTTTTCTCTGCTCAAATTTCCCATTTGTAAAGTGGGGATAACACCAGGTTGCCATTTAAGGGTAAGTTAGGTCATGGGTGAAAAATTAGAAAATGCATGTGAAGGAGCGACACAAACCATAAATCACTGCACGATTATAAGGCAGTGATATTACTAGATGGCAATCACATGAGGCCAAGGAATCATATCTTCTACCTCTTGGCCAAGAAAATGGAAATGGAAGATTCAAGGCCGGGGTTGAATCCGAAAGACACAGGCCAGAGAAAAAGGTAAATAAGGAAATTAGAAAAGAAAATACTGCTAAATGTGCCAAAAATTCCTAGGTTTTCCTCATCGGTTTCAGATTCATTCAAAAAAGATGAACGTGAAATAAAGGAAATGAGATATTAAACTATCTCACACAGCTGTCGATGAAATAAAGTACCTTTGGAGCAGGCAATCTTTGGCAACAAAAACTAGGCTGGGAAAACTTTGAATGGCCATCTGTCTCAGTTCAGCAGAGAGGGCAATAGTGTTTAAGGCTAATTTCAGGAGCTCTGGTGTCCTGGTAGCTGTATTCCAATCAAGATGAAGATACTCTGAATCATGGCAGAAAAAAACAGACGCTTGTGGGTAGCTGGGTCAGGAAGTCTTCCCATGGGGAGCAGGCAAGGATCAGAAAACTAGAAAAAAGGAATCCTGAAACTAGCAAGAGATGTCAGGAATTGAAAAGGAAAGCTTGTTTATTGGGTCTACAGTAATTTTCGAAGGCATTGGAAGCTAACCGCGGTTCCGTTGGTGCATCCAGCTCACTCTCTAGTTTTCTGAAATTAGTATTGCAAGGACAAAAAGGAGGAGGAATGCAGAGGCCACACTGCAGTCATAGCCATGGCTTCTGCAGATACCATTGCTGTCACTCAGCGCTGGGGTGAAGGGTGCAGAATTGTCTGAACATCTCTGTCGAGAAATATGCTCATTTCAGAAAAATTGTCTTCTCCTATTTCCCAGCTCTTTACTCCCCTTTAAATTTGAAGGAATTTCAGGCACTATAAATTCATGAGGTTCTTGAATAAAGAGCACTTTTTACAGTGGCACACACCCCACTCGCCCCTTACTCCCACAGCCACCTCAGGGGTGACCTCCAGCAAGAACAGCCCATATGCAGGACTGGGCCACACACAGCTCTGAGTCCACAGTTTGATCCCCCCAGTCTTGCATTTTCTTATTTTAAGGTCCTCCACGAAATGTTACTTGTCCCTCCTAACATTATTCTTTCATGTTCTTCGATAGGTCTTGGGACTTCCTGATAAGAAGAAACAATATCTGTTAAGTCATTAAACTGTTACAATGAATTAGCTTACTGGGATAATCCTCTTAGGTGTATTTTAATTTTAGAAGGCCACTATCAGGAGAAAGAGGCTCAAAGAACTTAAAATCATCATATTGGATTCCAGCTTTAAAGTTTTATGATTCTGTGAATAAATCTTTTACAGTGGAATTTTAGATCCTTATGGAAAGTGAATGAAGTAACCCTGTGGCACTTAGGCATAACTTTACAACTAGGGAAAAGCCCGACAATATATTTTTATGTTTGGGTGACGCTGTCAGTAGTTCACAATGCTTGACATGAATGATTCACTAGTTCAGTATTCAGTCTTACTCATTTGTCTACAATCACAAAATACAGTTCGGGTGTACAGAAAAGTTACTGAGAAATAAGTAGGAAATCCATCACAGTTCTCTTAGAGGAGAGAGCCGCAGTGATGGCTTTAATCAAAACCAATCCTGAAAGATCTGTATCACTTTACCAGTGAAAAATGTTCTTCACTATGGGAGTGAGTCTCTCTAAGAAATAAAACATGCATACAGTTTACATGGCTGTGTGATCAAAATAGTAATTACTCAAAGAATTGCAACACGGGAAGAAACAATGGAATTCAGAAGACTGTTCTCAGTTCAAACATTTAACAAATATTCTCAGGCAAGTCACTGAACCTACCTGAGTCTCAGGCTCCTCCACGAAACACATAAAGTAATGGTTAGCACTAGATAGTCTCTAAAATCCTGCCTAGATTTAAGATTCTATGAATCATTTTTTAAATTCCATGATTCTAATTATAAAATCCTAATAAACCAGTCAATGTTTATAGGTAAAGAATAAACTGCATTTTTATGAACAAATACATTTACTTAATCTTGGCAAAGCTTATAATCTTGCAGTTTACAGTCAATGTTTATAGGTAAAGAATAAGCTGCATTTTTATGAACAAATACATTTACTTAATCTTGGCAAAGCTTATAATCTTGCAGTTTAGAATGCTTATCAATTAGTCAGTTATCCACATGTGGAAGGATAAAATAGCATAATAAAATAAGAAACTGATATTTTATAGTTAACTCCTCAATCTACTATAATCACATTGCCAGTATTATTAGCTTGATTAACTGACTTGGTTTTTTTTATATAATCGTTTTCAAAGAAATTAATAAAAAATTCAGGTTTTTAAACTTTTACATAGAACTGAGTTAAGTTTATCATTGGCCCATAGATTCATCATTGGCCCACAGATGGCCTGCTGTTATTTACTTTTAAAAATATAATGAATGTTCTTGAAACTATGTCCCACCCCAGCCCAAGAAGTAGAACATTAGCAACAACTTAAATCTACTCCTGTACACCTGTGCTGTCGAATCCTTGTGTCCCTCTCAAGATAATCACTATGCAGAATGCTTTCCTCTTCCCTTCCTCCTTTAGTTTTATACCTAAATTGTATTTACTTTTATTAAGGTTCATCCCATTGCTGCATATTTCATTCATTTTCACTACTGTACGATATGCCGCTGTGCGAGTTTATCGTTACTTATGCAGTCTCTTACCAATCCAATGTTTTGCTATCCTAACTAAAACTACTATAAACATTCTTATACAAACCTCCAGGTACATATATGCTCTACTTTCCATATGTAGAAAATGAGTTTATCGTTACTTATGCAGTCTCTTACCAATCCAATGTTTTGCTATCCTAACTAAAACTGCTATAAACATTCTTATACAAACCTCCAGGTACATATATGCTCTACTTTCCATATGTAGAAAATACTAGGTCACAGTGAATTTGAATATTCAACTTTACAAGACAATACAAAATTGTTTTCTAAAATGTGAGCTAATTTCATGCCCACAAACACAAAGGTAAAAAGAGATCCTCTTGATCAATATGTTCTCCAACGCTTGGTATTTTTAGGTTTCTTAAATTTTGTCAACTGAATGGCTATAATACAGAATCTCATGTGGTCTTGAGTTGCATTTCTCTGACTATAAACGAGGTTGACATTTCTCCATGTGTTTATTATTCTTATCTATTTTACATAAAATCGTTTTTCACATCTTTGCCTATTTTCTTACCCAGGGACATGGGATATATTTCTCTTTAGTTAGGTCTTTAATATTCTTCAATAAAGTTTTACGTTCCCCCCACAGGTCTTATTCATCTTTAATAAGATTCATTTTTGTTGCTCTTGTAAAAGGCATCTTTTTAAAGTTGAGTTTTCTAATTGTTTGCTTCTGGTGCAGAGGAATGCAATTGATTTCTGTTTATTGAAGTCATATCCAGCCACCTTGTTGAACTCTCAAAACTCTATTATTTCTAGTAGTTTATTGCAAGTTCTTTTTTATATTCTCTGTAGATAAATATATTTTTTGCAAAAAATAACTTTCATTTTTTCCTTGCCAATCTTTATATCTCTAATTGCTTTCTCATGTTATGGTGCTGGCTAAGAACTCCAAAACAATGACGGGCAGAAGATGGCAGGTACCCTTGCCTTGTTCCTGATGTTAAAGGAGAATGCTCAGAACATGTCCCCAGTCAGGACAAAGTTTGTCTCAAACATTTTTGTAGACATCATTTATCAAGTTGTGAATATCCCTATTGAGTCTACTGAGAGTTTTTATTGTAAATACAGGGTTTTATGAAATTTTCTATGTCTATTGAGTTTCTGTATGTATTAATCATAAGGTTTATTTCCTTTAATCTGTTAATGTAGTTAATGATATTTATAGATTTTCTAATATTAAACTATCTTTACATTCCTTAAAAAAACCCAACTTGGTCACAGTACACTATCTTTTTAATACATTGCCAGATTCAGTTGCTAATATTTTGTTTAGGATGGTGACATCTACATCATGAGTGAGACAAGCCAATCATCACCCTTTTTTTTACTGTTCCTTGACTGGCTTGAATGTCAAAGTAACCTCAATAGAATGAATTGTAAATATGCCTTCTATTTTTAATGTTTGAAATAATTTGTTCATTATTAGAAGGTCTGTTCTTGAAAGTTTGGGTTTGTTGTATTTTGTAGGAAGATTTTTTAATTTAGTTCATTTTAACTTGTAATGAATTACTTTTATAATTACAGGACTGCTCAGTGTTTCTATTTCCAAATCAGTGTTTTGTTACATAATATTTTTCTAGAAATTTATTCATTTCATCTAAGTTTTTAAATATACCGGCATAAAAGCTGTTTTAAAATTCTGTTATCTTTCTGATTTCAATTAAAGTTTAGTCTTTTCAAAAAAAAAAAAAATCTAATCTAGTGCCTTTTTACTCCGAAAGAGATTAATTTATAATCTTCTCAGATATGTTTTTGCTTTCAGCTATCCAGAAAAACTTGTAAAACTCCACCACCTACATCATGCACAATATGATATGCTTGAACGGAACAAAAGAGATATATTTAATAGTATATGAAGGATAGTTTGTCTTGGCTACTTGTCTTTGCATTTTAAAAAATGCAGGTGAGAAATGGTGCCATGTTACACTCTAATTATATATACCCATGTTCTGAATTTCAATTGGTTCTGATGTAATAATTACAGCTTTTTATACTTTACTGACAAGACTTAAATGCTACATCTAACATCAAGGTAAAAAACAACAACAACAACAAAAAAAAAAACCCCTGATTCCTTTCTTCAAGATATCTGACATTTACAATGTCACATAATTTTTTACATGGAAAGCTAAATTTATATAAAGTAAGACTCTCATTATAGAAATGTTTTAAACTGTATCTCCATTTTGAGTCCAAAATACCAAATCATTTTCTTTGATGATTACATGCTACACATGAAGAATGTCTTCCTGGGAGACAGAGCTCTCCATCTCTGTTTGCCATGTTAACATCCTCTTTCTGGGTACCCTCAATGATCAGAAGGGACTCTGGCGGCTGAACCCCTTCTGGCTGGCAGGCATTTAGGGGCAGCTGACTTCTAGACACAAGGTCTAAAAGGAGTGGTGCTATGTTCTAGGCTTTCCATCATATATGAATAAAGAGTTTTTCTACAAGACATATGTTCAAGAAAACATACCTTCCGCTCTCTCCACATCTCAGCCTTATGACAAACATAGTGTGTACTATCTGTTGCCACATCCCTGGAATGAGGCACCCAGGGGCAATCAATTCATTCTCCATTCTGCTCTGAAAAATCCTCAGGGGGTTAGAAGGATACCAAGAAAGAGAAGGCGCTGCTCCCCTATCACCCAGTGAACATTAGTCTCTAGTGTAAGGAAGAGACACAAGCTCATTAAACTCACAGATTCCCCAATTAACCTCCCATGCTCTAGAAGTTGGAGCAAGCTGACTTTAAAGTAGGTGCTCTGTTTGCATGGGAGCCTGATTCACGCAACGGATGTGTTCCTGAAGTTGGTTGCAAATCAAAAGTTGCTTTTTTAACAAAATCTATTTTAAATACACTAGAAAGGCTTGCTATTTAAAGGAACGCACTGTGAATTCTTTTGTAAAATAAATAATTACTAATTTTCCTTATGACCATATCTGGATTTTCAAATACTGAATTTATATTAAATAGGGCATAGGTTTAAGTAAATTTGAAGAAAGGAATTAATTTTCTGGTTCCAGAATTTTGAATAAGCCTACACTTATCAGAAGAATGACTATCTTACTTAGATTTTCAGAGGTAAGATGCTCTTGGCAAGCTTTGACTTGCAGTTTTATTCCTTGGTAAATAAAACATCTTTCTTCATTTTGTGAATATCAGTTCTTAATTATTTAGATGAGTCACACATCTCTAGTAAATTGCTTACCTAGTACTGTTTCATATAATCCACGCACCCTCTTTAATGTGTACCCTTTAAGTTTAATTCTTTAATTTTCCCCTCTATACATTCAAAGGATACTGTCCAAAATTAGTTTAGTGAGAGCATGGTATGGTGACAAATCACACATTTCAGAAATTCGGTTGCAGGAAAAATCCACCTTCTGGTGAGAAAAAGAGAACAATACATTATACTTTTTCATTCATATTCACAATAATTAATTACGCAAGAAGATGGTATTTCTGGATGTAGGGTTATAATTTGTTATGAAAGTTCACTTAGGCTAAAACATACATCTATCTTTAATCATTTTCTAACTGGGATCCTTGTCTGTCCACTTTGAGGGATACTGAATAGGAGACCCCTTCCTTGTGGCCCCACAGGGACATCCCCACAACCTAAATGCTTTCAATTCCTGCAGCTACTTTTTCCATTTTCAGCATTTATTTTAAACTTTCTTGGTCTTCCTTCAGGATTTACCTCAATTTCATCCTTACTTACCACCATTTCTTTCATTTGTTCTAATGCACCATAACCTGTTTTCCTTAGTTTATATGCCTATCTTGTGTCCCTTTTCTCTGCCTTCTCTACTCCTATCTCAATATATCCTCCCATGTCACCCCCAAATGCCAGAATAGTCTTTCTTATTCATCCCACACCTCTTCAACTTTACATCTTTTCACCTGTTTTCCTTAGTTTATATGCCTATCTTGTGTCCCTTTTCTCTGCCTTCTCTACTCCTATCTCAATATATCCTCCCATGTCACCCCCCAAATGCCAGAATAGTCTTTCTTATTCATCCCACACCTCTTCAACTTTACATCTTTTCTTAAAATGGACTATTTTAGAAAAGCATTTTCAGCAACATCTGTGGTTTTTAGTCAAAAATGTGAGACTAAAAAACAACATTAAATAACTTTGTTTAATTATTTACCTACTGGCAAAGGACTAAAGAAAAAAACTTAAAAAAAAAAAAGAAAAAGAAAACCCCAAGTTTTTTGAAACTGTGTATTGCTAACTTACCTGGCACATTGTTATCCTTTTCTGGAAAACTATCAAGCAATTATAAAATAACCAGCACTCTTACCTTCTTGTGCCCTTTAAAACAGTGACTCTACCCCCAAAATATTAAGATTATTTTAACAATATGCTAAATACTAAAGACTTTATACACTAAATACTCAAAAAAATTTAGAAACAACTCCAAGTGGTAAGAGTAGAGACCTGGTTAAGTCAATTACAATATAGGAACAGCACTACATAGTCAGTAAAATACAAGTTTGTAAGCCACATGGAGAAATAGAAATGTGCAAATAAAATAGTGCTAAGCAAAAAGATCAGAAGACAAAATTCATATATTTACAAATGACAGCTATATAAAATGCATACTATGACATAATCAGTCTGGCATAATGTATATGGAGTACTTTTTTCTTCTATGTAATAATAATGGACTAGAAATAAACTCTCATTCCATGGGCTTGCTTATAATTGACACTTTCTCATCAATGCCTTCCATTCTCATGCCATAGCACACTCTCTGTCTAACTACACCTCCATCAGGGCTATCTGACAATACTATGCCCTCTATGTATCTATGATATTAGGTTTGTCAAGAGACCTTAAAAAGCTTATGATGTTGCTTTGACTACCCAACCAATCAAGTTAACATTTGTCACCCACTAAGAGCAAAAGCATTCTAAAAAGTACAAACAGTGCAAACACAAGCCCCTGCTTTTTAGGAAATGCACACTCTCTCCGGTTGGTGGTGCAAGACTCATAGATATAAAATGAAAAGGAATTAGAGCTTCTCAAGAGGGCAGGACATAGTACAGTACACAAGCCCAACTTTCTGGAATGGTACAGGCTTTGGGGTCTCAGACGTTGGGTTCAATCTCAGTTCCACTACCTCGCAGCAAAGGTTAAGTTACTTAACTGTCCTGTGCTTCAGTGTCATCATCTGTAAAATGGGACAGTACCAGCTACCTCACAGATTTATTCTGGAGGATTAAACAAGATAATGCATCGAAAATGCCGGAAGGACTCAATCATCCCTTCCCAGGTCCACAGAGAGCCCACCTAGGGTAGAAAACCCTCACTGAGGCAGTCTGGCACTTAGAAAGCACTTCTCTAAAGTTACCAATGTGTTTGCTCTTAATTTTCCAGGAGCTCAGAACCTTAAAGATGAGGTATATGATTTTGTTTTTGTTCGTTTGTGGGTTTCTATTGGAGGCGGCAAGGTAGTGTGTGAACGGAAGAAACTCCAAGGAAGTTTTTCCCAGGACAGGGGTCACACTGTTACACTGAGTGATTTCCCTGCTGAGGGCAAGGCGAATGGGACAGCAGAAGAGAATCGAAACAGCTCTGCAAATCCAATTCCTGATAACCTGACGCCATGCAGCCCCACACTGAGGACAAATACGACAAAAGAATGTCACCCTGGCAATAACTATAATTGCAAAGGGAAAAAACACACTACTGATAAAAATAGAAAAATGCGAAACAACAGAAGAAAAATTAAGAAGGCATCCCACTGTCAGTATGGGGAATATCAGATTCTTGATTTCAAACAGATTTTTATATTCATGCAAGCCTCAGTAGAACACTTTGGATCTAAGTTAATTTGGTTTGTAAATAAAATAAAACTAATAGATAAAAAAGGGCATAATTTTTGTGCAATAAATAATTACTAATTTTCCTTATGACCATATCTGGATTTTCAAATACTGAACTTAAATAGGGCACAGGTTTCAGTAAATTTGAAGAAAGGAGTTAATTAAAACAGAACCTCTCTTCTGGTTCTAGAATTTTGAATAAGCCTACATTTATGAGAATGACTATCTTAGGTTTTCAAGGGTAAGACGCTCTTAGCAAGCTTTGACTTGCAGTTTTATTCCTTGGTAAATAAAATATATTTCCCCATTTCGTAAATATCAATTCTTAATTATTTAGATGAGTCACACATCTCTAGTAAATTGCTTACCTGTTACCTGGTTGATGGCCATTCCTTAAAGTAACTTTTTTTTATTAAATACTTGAGTCCAATAGATGAACACTAATCACAAGCTCTGTGGCAATGGTTCCCAAATTTATCAGCTCATCAGAGACACCTGAGGGTCTTTTAAAAGGTCCAAAGCCCAGGCCTTACCTTGAACTACTTAAATCAGAATCTCTGCCAGGCATCAGTAGTTCTTATAAAACCCCCCCAGATGATTCCAATGTGCAGAAAGTTTGGGAAGCCTGACTCCATGACCTCCCTACTTAAGAAGGGTCCATGGACCAGCAGCAAGGACATCACCCAGAAGTCTGTGAGAAATCACAGGCTCAGGCCCCACCCCAGACATACTAGGTCAGAATCTCATTTTCACAAGAACATGGGCAATTTGGGCACACATTTAAGCAGATGACATGCCACTCTATAGCATAATGAACTGTTCTTTAAACTACTGTCCACAGAGAGTTTATTTTTGCTTCAGAAATGCAAAAGCAAGCACAGAGAAGCAAGAATGGAAATCTAAAGCTTTCTTCTCTAAAAAAAGGAAAGGTTGGATAAATAAGAGGGCAGTTTGGGCCCCTAGGAAATTCTTACAGATTTTTCAGAGATAAAAATTTTCAGATAAAATTGTTCTGCTATAACAAAAAAAAAAATGCAGTAACAACTACTATTTAATTGAGGGAAAGAGGAGAACAGAAGGAAGCTGGTTCCTTGGTTTGAACACGAGGTTTTAGCAAAGCTTCTTAAAAAGACTATCCATTGACAAAGCATCTTCTTTTTCCAAAATAAAATGCAGTAACAACTACTATTTAATTGAGGGAAAGAGGAGAACAGAAGGAAGCTGGTTCCTTGGTTTGAACACGAGGTTTTTAGCAAAGCTTCTTAAAAAGACTATCCATTGACAAAGCATCTTCTTTTTCCAAAATAAATGAGACACAAATCCTTTTTTATTTTATTCCAGACACTTACACTATGTACTCCTACAAGTTATTCTCTCTGAATTTTCTATTTTCGTGCTATTTTACTTATTGAATGTCCTTTGCAAACCATTTAAAATATGTAATTAGCGTATTGATAAAGTCTACCTTGAGATTTTTGGGTGGCTTGAAATTGAAGAATGTAGTCAGTTTATTTTGAGAAGCATTAAGTTCTAGAAGATAAGGCATATAACTCACACAAGACAAATCTAGGGGGAAAAACAGATACAGAATAAGGTAAGTCAACATAATTATTAGACAAAGTCATTAAAAACAGCATATGTTATATCAGAATATATTTTTAATGATGCCAGTTGCAAGCACGTCTTAATTATTCCATATAAGTGAAATGAATAAAATTGTTAGTGTATAAAATACACACAAAAAAGTGTGGCAATCTCTTTATGAGCCAATAATTTAACCTTCTCTCCCAGGGCCCTTTCCACCCCTTATTTCCCAGGCAGTCAGGGAAAAAAGTGGCAGAGGCCTCATCCATGAGGCCACTCTCTCCAACTCACTCTCTCCTATGATCTGCTAACAGCCAAATGCTTCAAAAACTCCCAGCCTTAGAGAAAAGGATGAGAAACTAAAGCCTTAGATAATCCTCTTGATAATTAGCCCCTAAATTACTAAATTAGGTCTTTTCAGAAAGACTGAAAATGCCACAATTAGGGAATTCTCTTTGTTATAAATTAAATTTTGTTTTAGTTGGACTTAATCTTAAATCTCATTAATTATTTGAAGTGATTTAAGTCATTGCTGTTATTTTACTTTGACTCTAACTTAGAGTTCAAAAGCACATCTGAATTTTGCATTTTATCCCAAGCAAGTATTCTGAACCTCTAATACATACTAAGTAAAGGACTATTTGCTAATAAAGGATACTCCTAATGAAATTACATATACACCATAAAAGTTGTGAAATATTGTTTTGCTTTCCTGCCACTTTCCAGTGGATGCACGTCAGGGTAACAGGATGAATTAGGGAAGGGATCAGGAAGAATCACACAGTAAGGGTTACAGCCCTGTCTCTACTAGTAATTCATTTCTCCACCTGAAAACAGTAACATAACAGCGTCTCCCCGTCTCTTCTCATTCTAGGTCATAGAAGGAGCTGTTACAACCCCTCAGAGGATGGCCCCTAGTGAGAGAATGGAGCCCCTACAACCAAAGCCAAGCAAAGTGCTCCCACATTTTACCATCTGGCACAGACACATGCAGACCAGGAGAGGGGAGCAAGCCGGAGCAGTGGGGGACCCTGCCCTGGAGTGGGTGGGACAGGCAATGTGAGGGGACCTCCTAGCATCTTTCCTTCTCAAGGGTCACTGAAGCCAGAAGACCCCTACCAATTCCGACTTCATTCCTCTAGACTAAACCACACACTTCTTTAGTAAATGGGAACAGATCTAGGAGAGACAATCCATTGGGAATGAGCGAATCAGGGAAGGTTGCCTGTGAGAGGAAACTGCGATTGTCTTAGGATTTGTATCTATTTGTCGCTTCTGCACTCAGCTACACATCTGTCAGTAGAGGTCTCAACAGTACTAACTTCCACTGGCCTGCGGGCGCCCTGGAGCTGATCTTTTCTGTCTTGAAGCAGAAGCAGCAGCTGGGACTCAGAGAGAGACAAAGAGATGGTGAGTGCTCTTCACACTTTATAGATAGCCAATGTGTTCAAATCATTCTGACAGACAAAATCCATGGTTTGGGTTGCTGGACTTCTAATTCCAGCAGGCCCCTGAACTCCCTATTCAGTGCAGTGACCTCTTTGTCCACCAGATGGCAGGAACTCCTCGTGTCCACATCAGTGGTTCTCACCAGTAGCATCAGTCTCACCTGGAAACTTACTCAAAATGCAAATTATAAGGCCCCACCCCCGATCGACTGAATGAGAAACTCTGAGGTTGGGGTCCAGCAATCTGTTTCAATAGGCCCCCAGGTAATTCTGATGCAAGTTGAAATTTGGCGTACATGAAAAACACACCATACCTTACACACAGTAGGCTCTCAAGCACTTATGAATTAATGAAATGGGCCATACAAGATTAATGAAGACTAATCTGGCCGAAGAGGAAAGCTTCCATTGCCGCTGTGGATTCCCTGCTCAAGTGGCAAGGATATGAAGCCAGGTCTTTTTTCTTGTTGTTAGCACTAAGCATTGTTGAAGCCTCCCCCACACTTGGCAATTTCTTATCCACTAGATGAAACCAAGCTTGGAGATGTGGGTAGAGCACTCCTTCCAGTTAACACTAAAAAAGTCTCACTGATTATATGATAATCTGGGATATGCTTTAAAGTAACCCTGGGGAAAGGGTACAGGGAGGTATAGCTGAAACAAGATTGGCTATGGGCTGATAATTGTTGAACCCAAATATTCATTCTGATATTCTATTTGCGGACATGTTTGTAATTTTCTATAACAACGTTTTATAAAACTAGAAAAAAATAATAAAAAGTCTCTCAAAACAGTAGAATTTTAAGAATTAAAAGACTAGAATATTTCTTACCCATTGAAAAGTGTGAATTTTAATTATTAGAGTCATATGAGGGGAAACATCAGAAAATAAGGCAGAGAAGATGATATCAGCAACACTTAATTTTCATTTAAAAAGGTAGGCAAAACTAGTAAGTAGAAAGATTATCAGCGGAGAAAGTTCAGAAAGAATGATTTGCTTACTTCCCTAGAAGTCTAAAGAAAATATTATACACTGTTAACTTCAAATAAGGTAAGAAAATTAGAAACAAGGATCAAGCTTTGAAGGAAATGTGACAATCGTAAGACTAATTTCATTAAATGTGAACATATATAGAACTACAAATGGCGGTTAGAGTTGTAAGAATCAACTAAACACACAGAGACAGCAAAAAGAGGGAGACAAGTAAATGCACGAAGCCCTGGTGCTCAAATAGTGAGAATAGAAGTAGACAGCCAGGATTAAAATGTAAATGCAAAAGCAAAATATAGAAAAGAATCCATTAAAGTGGAAAATATAGAACTACAAATGGCGGTTAGAGTTGTAAGAATCAACTAAACACACAGAGACAGCAAAAAGAGGCGGACAAGTAAATGCACGAAGCCCTGGTGCTCAAATAGTGAGAACAGAAGTAGCTAGCCAGGATTAAAATGTAAATGCAAAAGCAAAATATAGAAAAGAATCCATTAAAGTGGAAAAAAAGGACTAATTCACGTGCACTGAATAGAAGGAAAGAAAAGGGAATTGTTAAACGTTCAGGAAGTATTGAAGAAGTAAAATAGATCTTAAAAGAAAAAAATGAAGCAAACATTGCATCTCATACTCAACTATCACGGAGTGCATCTCAACCATGTCATAATTTTGCAGACCTGTGCCAATGACTCATCATTCATTGGTGCCTTTTGTACAGAAAGCAAAGGACCAGTTTGTAAATTGATCCACTGATCACATACACCAAGTTTGAGGATATTAAACTGTATTACACACTGCAACATCTGCATTCCGAAATAACTCAGAGATCGATCTACTAAAATGACCATTACATACCTTCAATTTTATTTACCGAAAGATCCAACTTCTGTAGGTGAACATATCCACAGAGAATGCTAATGTCAATTAAATCACAACCCTGAGAAAACAAAAGGTAAAAGACTTTAATATTGCTTCAACAGGTTAGTGTGTTCAGTCTTCTTGCAACATCCAGAAATAATAGTGACGGAAAGCAAGCCAGACTTTCTCTCAAAAGTATAGAAGAAGTGAGAGAACAAAATCTGAAACCTGCTACTAATAGGATCTCAAAACAGACTATGGACTCCCTGAGAAAAATGCATTCCTCTGAAGAAAGAAGCTTAGGAAACTAGTGCTGTTAGCAAGAACAAATACAACATGAAAAGGCAAATTAAAGCAGTGTTCTAAAGACCTTTAGAGCAGAGTTTTATATTAAAAACAACAACACATAATAGCAATAAAGACAAAGGTTTTATCTAGTAGAATGAAAGAAAAAGCAAATGCCTAGAATTTAAATGAATTTTTTCAGAGTGCACACCTAATCAGGAGATCATTGATAACACCACCCATATTTTCACGGGATTTATTTTCAAAGCTCCTTCACAATAATCTCATCTAATCAAATGCACCTATGAAACCTGTAGGGTGGCTTATTCCCAATGTAGAGATGAGGAGTATGAGGCACAGAGCCACATGTAGGAACCCTGGAGTCACAGAGCAGGTTAGTAATGAAGCAGTATCCAAATCTCCTGAATCCTTGCCCAATATTCTTTCCAAAAGACCTTGCTTCTAGTGAACTTCAAATGTGGTTATGGGGGAATTTGGTCCCATGGAACGAGACATATTACTGATTTATGCTGTTATGTCAGAAAAAGCCAACCAATGAAGAGTCATTAGAAACAAGTTCTCATATAGAATAATGATGATTGTTTAATGAAGGCTGCTAGAACATTAATAAATACACACTTGCTAAATACCTCCTATGAATAAGGCATTGTGCTTGGCGTGATGAGAAATACAATGACAGAACAGAGCTACACTGTGTCCTTAAGAAACGTATGACTTTGGTAGGAGAAAAGATATGTACACAAGTAATCAGAGAAAGCAAAACTAAACTGTAACATAAGGAAGATGTAAGGGGGAAAAGAATCACTAAACGTGGGCGACCTTAGAAAGTGTATTCAGTAAGACAGATTATTAAGGCAAAGTAATTCACCATGTAATATCTCAAATGTAAGGAGGTCAGGGGCAAAATAAGTTAAGCTTCAGTCCATCTAGCTGAAATAAGATTTAAAAGATTGCTTTTTTTGGTAGATCAATTTCAGGCATAGCACTACATACGTAAGGAGAATATTGATTGAAAGGGACTTGTGCAGGAACGTTTTGGCTGCTGGAATTACATACCATCCCGAGGTCTAACATAGTGCAATGCACACAGGCTGCTTCCTGTATGTTATTGCCTGACTGGTTGAGTCATCTATAAAATGTTATAAAGTGAAAATAGTAAAAGATTAGAGCCTTCATACGCTGACCTCAAAGGACGTGCCACCGAACCAGCATAGGTGAAAACAGCTTAACATTTCTTGAATAGTTTACTAATTCAAATCCACATCAGAAAAGTCTTGTGATGAATTATATACACTTTAGCCACATCCTGATGCTATGGTAAAATTTTAATGTACTTTTTAAAATTATGTATCCACATTTATTCTATGAATCTCCAAGAAACATTTCATGCTCTACAGTATAAGGAAGCAAAAAAAGTGAAATTATTTTTCTAGGACTATAGAGAAACAAAATGGGGAAAGAAGCTGAAGTACTCTGACTAGTCTGCTCTTACAGCCTCTCATAATAAAACAGCAGCCACGATTTTGTACCACTCTGTGACTCGTATTGGAATCTTGAAAACTGATGAATAACAATAGACTTTTTTCTTTAATGACAGGTATCTTTTGGAAAGTAAGATATAGCTCAAAGCTACTTATTTCTTGACATACTCAGAGGGGAAAAGTCAATATCAAAATACTTTGTTCCCTCGCATTTAGGTAAAAATTTTAGTTCTTCTACTGATCAGAGAGAAAATTCTTAAAAGAGTTTTTGATTGCTTTTACAGAATCAAATTCAACCTTCTGGAAAGAAAGCATTGATTACTGTAATATAGACAACTTAAGATGAAAGAAATAGAGTGTGAGGAGAATGAAAACAAAGGAATTTGGGGAGCTGATTATTGGACTGGCCAGGGCTCTTTGAAGTCTAATATTTATATAAATATCCCTTAATCACCAGTCTCCATCAAACTGAGGACCCTGAGATTTGCTGCCACCACAAAAGCTATGAGTACCAGAGCAAATGGATATGGTCTAGTCAATGTCAGGATGTCACCAGCCAGTGATGTTCCTGTCATACTCACTGATAAAGTTAGACTGAGGTAAACCTGCTCAGTCCCAGGACCTGAGCGCCCCAACTGGTGGAGTGCCTTGGCCACGGCCTCCTCTCTTAGGACCCCATCAAATTCCTCCTGCAAAAAAAAATCAGACAGGTGGACAAAAAAAGGACTCCCATTAGAAAAGAAACAGCCCACCTTGTCATGTCCAGCACTTAATAGATTATACACCCAGGAGCTAAGCCCTCCAAAATTTACCATCCCCAAAGAAAATTCTGAGTTTAGAATACATACCTATTATGTAAAATTAAATATATATCAAATCAACATTTCTATTGCCACTGGTTTTTCAGGTGGTTGCTTGCATGACGTATTCAAAGTTGAGTGAACGAGGTAGCAGTAAAAGCGTCAGTATTAGTGTGGGTAGCTACCATCACGGAGGGCTTCTCGATTCCAGGAGCTGTGCTAAAAGCTCTCAGTGATCAACTCACTGAATCCTTCTGATGGCCCTGAGCTAGGTTCTTATCTCCATTTTACAAAAGAAGAAAGTCAGGTTGCTGGGCTGACTTGCCTGAAACCACACAAGTGCCGGAATGAACACCTGCATCTGTCTGACCGCAGGGCAGTTCTAACCACTGCCCTTGACTGCTTGCCCACACCCCAAAGGACAGCAAATTAAGGCAATTAAATCTGCTATTCTTCCTGGAGAAAACAGGTCCTTGGTTTGCTTCCTATTGGCTAGTTTTGCTGGCTTCATGCAATTTACAACATTTACTAAAAGGGTGATAATCATTTCCATACAGAAGTTGGCCTTTGGTCTGTAGACATCCCATGGACAAATGGCAGCTCAATATGCCCTTTCCCTAATAATGACAGACAGAAGTGATAACAGGTGGGACAGTGTTATGTTTGTGCTGCCTTCAACTCCATAATGACCAAAATTAACAATGACATCAACAAGAGGACACAGAACACAGTCATCACATCAGTCACACCGATAGAACCAACCATGACTGACAGAAGGATTGCAGTGGTAAAATACTCTTTCCAGGTTTTCTATAGTAATACAGGAAGCCACAAGGCTGCTCAGGCTGTTGGTGCAGAGGACATATATTTGGTAGGCTTGTTCTACTGTGAAGAGTTTCTTTCCCCACAAATTTCCACTAATCCAGGGAAACAAAACCACCTATACGGAGACAGCACCTGGGCTTTGGCATTTGGCAGGCTTGGTTTGAACCTCAGCTCTGCCTGACTTTGGGGAGCTAAAGTTATCTCTGAGCCTCACCTTCTTCACCTATCAATAGGAAATGTTATTACCTCTGAAGTAGTTCAGAACATGCCACCCTGAAATAGGCTGCTTTGGCATGTTGATTATTTTGAGCTGATGGCATTTGAAACAGAAAATGCAGGGAGAGCCTTTCTCTGAACTCTCCTTGTGTTCTTAAAGACAGATCTTCCAAAAGGAACTTAATTGTCATAAATCCCCTTCCCGGGAGTTTCAACTCAAGAAGATTGACTCATCACAGGAGAGAGACTAGAAGTCAACCCACACTCAGACAAAATTCGTCACACACTATCATATCTCCCATCCATTCTCCTAAGGGCCCATCCATCTTTCCCAAAAAGTATTTACTCTCCCCTAAGTGGCCTACATCCCCCCCCCTGCCCTATTAAGACGGTATATAAGCTCTTAAATTTCACTGTTTTGGGGGTATTTGCTTTTATTTTTTCCTGTGATGCCCCCACACATGTACTATTAAAAATTAATAAATTTGTGTACCTTTTTTTCCTGTTAATCTGCCTGCTGTCAGTTTATTTTATAGACCCAGCTAGGAGGGTAGAGGGAAAATCTTTCCTTCCCTATACCTTCTTTTAATGTTTTAGGGAGAATGAAAAAAAAATGTCTATAAAGCTTGTAGCACAGTGCTTGAAGCACAGCTAGTGTTCCCAATAAATGACATTTGTTCCTACTAATTGATGATACCAGAAATTCCATATCTTAATCTTTCATTCATTCATACCTATCAACCTGTTTACAGAATGGGTGAAAGATATTTATTTTTCTAAATAAGGTTCCAATTTCTTATATAAGTCCTGGGAAGGAGGGAGGGCAGAGTTACTTTCCCTTTGAAACTTTCCACTTTGACCTCTGAAGTTCGTCTGACACACACACACACACACACACACACACACACACACACACACACCCATTTTCTAGAAATGAGAAGACATTCCATCCTTACTTATTGTAAGCAGATGCCTGTTTTTCAATGTAGCTGTTGACAGGGAGCATGGAGACGGGTCACACTGTCAGCATTTTTCCAGATCCCCAAGGCAAGTCTCCGCACAGCCATCCCCTCACATCTCCTTTGAGGTTCCTGCCATTTGGCAGTATCATGCTTTCCCCTTTTGGTCTTTGGTAATTTTCAAAACTTTACAAACCCCATCCTCACTGTGGGTGGCCTCGGAATCCCTACAGATGGCCTCCAGCACCCCTACTGCCAGCACATGCCCACACATGCGTTCCTTACTGACTCAACTCCAGACAGCTTCGACTTGATGTCCACCCAACTTCAGCCACCCAGAAGACAGGGTGAATAAGGGAATAGACATGGTGCCTGCCCATAAGGGATTTACAGTTCAGTCCGAGAGACAGACAAGTCCACAAGCAACTTCAGGAGTTTCATATTACAGTGGAGACAAGCAGGGTGCTGCTGACTATCAGCAGGATGCCCATTATCTGCCAGTGTTGGGGTCGAGTAGGAAGTTAGCAGAAGCTTCCTGGGGGAGAGAGCAGTCAAGCTGAGACCCCAAGTCATGAGTCATTCTGGCAAAGGAGAAGAAGCCTGAAAAGAGAGCCAAAAAGTAGCACTGCAGGCAAAGGGGGGAACATATACAAAATCCCAAAGTCACAGGCAAGCACAGCCCTCTGGGGGAACTAGGAAACTTCTAAATGGCGGAAGCATAAAGTGGGAAGGAGGAAAACAGTGCCTAGCCGTGGTAAGCGCTCAGGCATGGGTGGAAATGAACTAATGAACCCTCTCTGCCCCCCGAGCTGCCAGGTGGGCCAGAAAGGGCCCCACCACCATGCATCCTGTCCATGTCTGTACAGTCGACTTTCTGCTGGGCCTCGGTGCTATTAGACGGTCTCCCACTCTTCATCAGCTCCCTTCCCAGCTAGTCCAGGTCCGCATCACTCTCCCCAAGCCATGCAGCATCAGCTCCTTTGTCCCCCTCTCAACAAATGTCCTTCTCTTCTACTTCCGAGGCAGAGTAGAAACTCTCAGACAGTGACCCTGTCAACCCCCTGCACCGTCTAATGCTTCTCACTTGGGTCTCAGAGGAAGACCGCTCCTTCTCTCTACCCAGGGCTTCACTCCTTTCTTTTTCCCCAGAGACCCTGCTCAGGGACCATCAATTTCACCCTATTTTGTCAGTTTCCATCCTGTCACTCTCCACTGTTTCCTTCTCCGGCTATACAAGCCCATGAGACTCTTCTGTCTTCAAAAGGCTCTTTTCCATCCTCCATGTTCCTTTTGCTATAGCTACAGTTTCCCTTAACAGCCAAGCCTCTGCAGAGTTGCTTTTTTATCCCTGGTTCCCCCTTCCGCACCTCCCTTACACTCTCTTCAACTCATTCCAGTTAGGCCTCTGCCTTCACAAAGCAAAACCCACGTGGGCCAAGGTCGTCAGTGACCCTCCGGTAGACAGTGCTGATGAGCACTTTTTCAGGCACCTCTCCACTTAACCTGTTGGCAGCATAACCCCTTCCCACACTCTTGAGACTCTTTCTTGCTTTGGCTTCTCTGTCTCCTAACTCTTCTTTCTTCTCCTACTTCTCTTACCAGTCCTTTCCAGTTTCTTTCACCAATCCTTCTTCAACTGCTGACCACTTAGATGCCTGTATCCCTACGGCTCTGTTCTCGGTCCTCTTCCCTTCTCTTCCCTTCCCTTCTCTTGCTGGATGATCTCTCAAGCACCAATGCTGATGATTCCCCAGCTTTCTACTCTGAGGCCCTTCCCCTGAGTTCCAGTCATACGGTTCCTATGTCCAACTTCTTAATGCATAGCTCATCTGACCCTGATTCCTGTTGTAGACAATGACCTTAACATCCCCTCAGACCATGCCATAGACCTAACAGTCATCTTAGACTTCTACTAGTCACTAGTAACTGTCCCATCTTAAATATTTTAAATACAAGTGTACTTCAAAAAGTTTATGGAAAAATGGAATTAAAACATGGTATGAATCTTTCCATGAAGTTTTTGAGGACCCCTTGTATGTTTTCATCTTTAGCTTTCTTTCCATTTCCACTGCCACTGTCTTAATCCAGACTCTTCTTGCTCCTCCCTAAATATGACCAGAGTCTTCTCACTGGGCTCCCTGCCTCTAATCTAATCCCACCTGGCCACCAGAGCAGTTCCTCACTGCTTAGAGACTCAAGTCCATGTTTGTACAACAGCACAGAACTCTCCACAATCTGGCCCCTACCCAGGCTGCTACTTCTGCTGTCACCTAAAGTTCATCCACAGGAGAAGCTCTGTCTGCCTGCCCACACACCACCTTTCCATCCAGACAGGAGGCTATTCCCTTGGAGTCCTCCATGATCTGTGCAATCAAGCTGTTATCTGGACATATCACTGTATGTAATACTACAGATGCTGAATTGCTAGGACTTACAGTCTTATCTCCCTGTGAGAACAAGGACCATGTGTGTCCTCAATCCTGTTATCTTCTATCACTACTGTTGCTATTATTTATTACATCTATAATTTGAGAGCCTATTCTGTATCAAACACTATATTAACAACTTTAATACAGAGTTTCTCATTAAATTTGATGTTCTTAACTATCCCATGAGCAGGCATTATTAGCCACATTGATTTACTGGCAAAGAGTGATTTTCATGCATCAGTTATTGGGGTTCAAATACTTCTGCTCTTGATAGTCAAGGAGTTCTTCCTACACAGCAATCATTCAATAAACGTTTGTTCAATGAAAGCTAAATTAACTAAATCACTTGATGGGTAGTTAGCAGATAAAAATGTGTAAGGTACTATTTGTATTAGTAACATAATCAAAGATATATTATGCTAAGCATACTACATATAGGACCTCATTTAATTCTCACAATTCTCCTATGGGATAGGTATTATTATAATTCCCACATTATGGATGAGACATAGAGAGGTTAAGTAACTTGCTGAAGGTCTCACAACTAACAAAAGGCTAAAACAAGCCTCAAACACAAATCTTTGATCACAAAGGCAGTGTTTAAACAGCTGGTCTGTACCGCCTCCCTTAAATTCATCAGAGCTTCTGAGGCTTACAGCTAATTGTATTATAGGCACTTAATAATTATTGTGACCTTTGTAGCATTGCAAAAAAATAAATCACTGAACATGAATGTCCAAATGTTTCTTTTTAAAACTTTTCTTTGCTTATTCAGCATACTAAAATGTATGCAATACTATGAAAAGCCAAAATAGAATGTGAGAACACAAAATAAATAGTAACATTTAAAATGTAAATGGATGAAATAATGAACTTTTTTACACACCCCCTACAAGCCAAAAAGGAATGACTAATTCAAGTCAACCCCTTCTGTGGTTTTTTAATGGCATACTGAAGACAGATTAACAAAGGTACTAATGAACCCCACAGCTGAAGAGTATGTGTTAATTAGAATAATAAAGTATACGGGTGGTTCATTTGTGAATTCCTCTGGGGTGGAAGCTGCTGGAAACCATACAAACATCTCAAAGTTGTAAAAACACTGTTACAGTTTTGCCGTAGTCACTGCTGAAGCTAGCAAAGTAAATCAACAAAGACAAACAAAATATGTAATAACTAACGAAATAAAGAATAACTTTCTGTAGTCAGCTTTAAGCAAAACTAGCATATAACTATCTCCTGTAGAAGGAAGGAGAGACAAAATGAGGGACAAAGGTGAAAAAACATGGGCCAAATGTTGACAGTGAACCAAAGGACATTTCAAAAGAAGGGGAATTCAAATTGGGGAAGAGTATAAGGGGCTAATGGTAGAGTCAGTAACAAAAGACACTGCAGATTAGACAGGGAAGAAGAAGAAATAACACAAATAAGGAAAGGAATTTGCGAAAGGCAACAGGCATAACAGTGAAACATGTTTGGCCTCGAAGAGCAAAGGTGACTTGGAAAAGCTGCAAAGCCAGAAGACTATAACAGAATGTAATATACTAAATTTTTAAATCACTTAGTCTTTGAAGATTATTTCAAGAGAGTAATTTTTTTCTTCTTTTTTTCTTTTTTCCTAGAGGAAGATGGAGAGGAACAGGTGCTGGGGATGCCAGCTCTGCCTATTCACAATATTGTCAAGTTTATAATTTTGACACGTTAAAGCCATAACTCCCATACAAATATATGGATACTTTTTTCAGAACGACGCTGTGTAACTTGACTCATAAGAAATCGAATGTGTTAATGAAAAACAAAGGAGACATTTGGAAAGATTTCAGGCAGGGTGTGAGGAAACGGGGTAACAGACATGGGAAGCAAAAAGCGGGGAGCCTCGGGGCGTTCGGGAAGAGGTGCTCCTGAAGGCGAGGGAGCCCGAGGAGCGGGCTAAGGCTCGGGCTGCTGCGGGGTGCGGCTGCAGGAGGGAGCGGGGGGCGGGGGGGCGGGGAGGGAGAGGGCACACCTCCAAATTCACCATTTCGGACTCTTCGGACTCTGAGGACTCTTCCGACGCCGCCTTGCCCTCGCCCTGGTCCTCGTCTCCGTCCGCGTCCGACTCCCGGCCGCGGTGAATGAGCTGCTGGAGCAGGTAGGACGAGGCTCTGTTGAACGTACTTTTTCCCACGGGAAAAGAAGACCAGCAAGCCGAACGCGCCTTTTCTGAGCACAACAGGATCGACTGGGCTCTAGTTCGTGAACTGCCCATGCCTCCCCGGGGAGAGGCTGCTCCCGCCTTCTGGGGATCGCTTCTGGAGGTCGCCATCTTGTTTAGCGGTTGCCCAGGAGACTGACGCCCGGGGAGGCGCCGCGAGGCATTGTGGGGGCTGTAGTCTCCAGTCCTCCGCGCGTGCTCGCCTCCTGCCCTTTCTCTTTTTTTCTGCCTCATCTGTTATTCTTCTCTCTAGTTCTGTATTTTTGCTTGTCCTTCTCGTTATCACCCCTTTTCTCCACACCCCTTTTCTTTGTCTTCAGCCGTCTGTTTTCTCCCCACCTCGAGGCCCGTCTTAGGGCGTTTTCATCCCACCTAGGATCACACGTGCGCCTTCCTGGCCGTTTCGTTCATGAAGGGCTCTTTCCGCAGAGACGCACTTTGGAATTGTCTCTAACGCAGTCTGCAGGGAAAGCTGGCAACGTTGAAATTGAGCTCTATGCAGAGCGCGGTGCTAGGAGATGAGGGAGTGCATAATGAAATAGAAGACAGGCCCCTGTCCTTATGATTTAATTGCAGATGATAAAGAGAAAATATCAGACGACTTCTGAGAGCTGATTTGCAATTAATTTACATTTTCCCCCCGAAATGATGAGCCATGTCCTTGGGAAGAAAAACTGGCAACGGTCGAACAGGCCAAATAGAGGGAGAAAAAAACTGGCTGTCAAATTGACACTATCTGAAAGCCTCTGAAAAGCTATTAGCATCCCATAAATAATTGTATTAGTCAAGTGACCTGCATTGGTAATCATGTTAATTTTGTTGCATAGGTTCTCTTTACAGTTTGATAAAATACTCCTGCAAGATTACAAAGCATGATTTTATGTGACCCAGATCCCATAGCCTTAAGCTCCACAAAAGTAGACACTCCATAGAAAAGCAGAATGAAAATTATAGTTAACTATTATTGTCATAGTGATGACAATAGAGATCCTTGCAGGAAGTCGCCCTCATCCTCCTGGCCTTACAGAGCCTTTTCTCCACGCTTCAGTGACAGCAGTTGCAAATACAAAATGATCCTGTCAATGGCTGTCAGGGGAGAAGAAGGAAAAATCCTTATGGACACCATCCATTGACTATTATCTTTCTCAGTGCTTGAGGGACCGTTAAAACTGACATAAAGCTTTCAGAATTACCTTCTTTCATTATCTTGCTAGTCATAAATGTAAAGGCCACAATGAAAGTATCTCTTTCTGCTAGGCTCATCTTGCTTCTTGCTTATTTCTTTTTCCAGTAGGTAGTTTTCTCCAAGGGATTTTCCCCACTTTCACCCCCATAGGGCTTGGCTCCAGCTAACTGACTTAGAGAGGAAGGGAGCAGAAAGTATAAAAATGCAAACCCAGTGTACTTTTTATTTTTTTCAATAACTTAATCAGCATTGCTAGCAAAGCGAGCTTCGCCAATGTCAATCTATTGAGGAAAGTGTCAACGCAGTGTTATTTAGGACCCATCAAAGAATAATTTTCAAAAAGTTAAAAGCATAATTCTCATACAAAAAAAAGGTAAAGAAATACATGTGAAAGATTCTGTTCAACTCACTGATTAATGAGAGAACCAGTGAGAAGGTAACAGGATACTCAGAGTCCATGAGGAAAGACATTCTGAAATAAGTTCGCCAAGTTAGAGACAAAACTGGTTAATGCACTATAGGACAATAAAACTATAGCCTTTGGAGTTATATATTTCTAAGTGTTTTGTCTCTTTTCATCTTCGTATCTACTCTCTGTCTATCCCCATTCAACAGATGTGGTCACTGAGGCTCAGGGAAGTTACATAACTGGCTGAAAGCTAAGGGGTGGTGCTAACAGCTAAACCTAGGATGACCAGTTCTGCCGTTGACCTTCAACTACCACTTCTGTAGGTGAAAAAATGTGAGACAAGATAAAGCTGCACAACGAGAGGTCTCAAAAGAAAAAACATGTCAGTCAAGGTTCTTAAGTATAAATAAAAGAGTTCAGGGCTGGCCCTGTGGCTCGCTCAGGAGAGTGTGGTGTTGATAACACCAAGGCCATGGGTTCGGATCCTATATAGGGATGGCCAGTGCACTCACTGGCTGAGCGTGGTGCAGACAACACCAAGCCAAGGGTTGTGATCCTCTTACCGGTCAAAATTAATTAATTAATTAATTAATTAATTTTTAAAAAAAGAGTTCACTCAGAGAATCACTTTTTAAAATAGAATTATAACATGTCAGAGCAGAAGGAACCTAAAAGCCCATTTTATCCGAACTCTTCCTTTTTGAAAAGAAATTGATGGCCCTTAAGTGACAATGACTTGCCCAAAATTGCCTCACTTTTTAGGAGCAGAGCAGGAATTAGAGTCCAGACTGCTTATTGCTCGATCTTTGCTCTTGCTAGTTCACCAAAATGCTCCCTAAGCTGGAGTTCTACTAATAGAATCCCCACATTTGGATTCTGATACCAAAATAGAAGGCATTGTCTCCATAAAGCAAGTAGTTTTACCAGGTAGGGAAAACAAAACTAGGCAGAGGGAGAGGAGGTAAAGGGAGAATATTTTGTCTAAACTCTTCCTATTAGTACAGAATGTCAATAATCCCTTCCATTTATTCATTGCTTACTGTAAACCAGGCCTGTGCTGTGTGCTGTATGCATTTCTCATTTAATTATTCCAGCTGCTCTCTGAAATCGGAGTTCATTTCCCCACTTTACGAAGTAGAAGAATGAGGCTCAAAGATGTTAGCTAAGTTGCCCAGTCACAGAATTTGTGTCTAAACCAAAACTTCAACTCAGGACTTTCTGTATCCAAAGCCCATGATCTTAACTATTAGTACTCTACTTTCTTCAGAAATATAAATTAGTTTCTCAGGAACTTATTGTCAGGCACAGAGAGTCAGGCCACGGTGAGATACTGAAATGGTAGTACACGCACGTGCACATACGTGTGTGTGCGTGTGTGTTGGGGCAGGCAGGAAGACTCCAGGTTTCTGGAGCCAGGGAAGTGGAGCAGGGTGGGCAAAGGTGTGGGCTACGATCATCCAGAAGAACAGTCTTCTGTGACAGCCCCAGATCCTTACCAGCTTAGGTGAAAGGAAGGAGAAAGCAGAGGAGTGGCACCATGACACTCAAGAGTGCCGCTCTTGAGAGGATAACCAGGAGGCAGTTATGAGGGGAGAACTAAAGTAAAGAGCTTAAGATGAAAAGAGGTGTCAGCGACCAGCTTCAGCTACTTGGTAGCTTTGCCTCGGTGCTGATATTGACACTTGCACCTAACTTTCCTGGGTGCAGCTGGAGTCTTCCCCTAATGTGGAGCCAGCACCCTGATGTAAGACCTTTCTTTCCATTGAGAATGGGGAAACAATTCAGGGATGAGCCCTCTATTGCCTATATTTGGAAAGAGTACCTTCCCAGGAGCGTGCACCTTGGCAGGATGAAGAATGTGGGTCTCCTTCCCCTTTACGTAGCTGCACCTCCCTAGTTTTGTGTAAGGAAAACAGTGCTTCTCAGGCATGTTGACATGACAGCACTTTGAACTCATGGTGTATTTTTATGGAGCGTTATAATTTTTATAGAACACTATGAAATGAGGAGAGAAGATAGACAGTAGACAGCATCATTGGTATAATAATAATTAAAACACAACCACAACTAATATTTATGAGTAATTCCTATGTGCCAAGCAACTTTCTAAGTGCTTTATATATATTACCTCATTTAACCCCTACACGAACTCTGTAATACAATAATATTATTAGTCCCATTTTATAGATGAGGAAAGACAAGCTTAGGAAAGTCATGTGATCCACTCAACCCCCTTGTCACACAGTGACAAAGCCAGGACTCAAATGGAGAGGGTCTGGTTTCCCAGACTACACCTGTAATCAACATGCTATATATTTCTACTCCAGTGCTATAATAAAACTTTGCAGGGAGGTGGGAAAAATTTGAAATAATTTGATTCATTAACTTTCTATCTTTTTATGTTTTCTTATCCCTTTCTATGAAGAAAGGATGATTTTTCATTGAGAAGGGAGCTTATTATCTAATAAACACCTAGTGGGTTTATAGACATTAAGCAAATAATGACATAAATAATCATTTTGTTTCAATTGTCATAAGGGCTAAAGAGGGAAAATTCAGGAGCCATGAGAATATCGTCCGGGGCCTTGACCCAATATGGTGGGAGAGGGCCTTCAAAATGTCAGACAAACACTTTGAGCCTCATGATAATTATAAAGTTGGGAAAAGAAAGTACAACAAATGAGGAATTCATTTGTTACCTTTGCAGGAATCAACTGTATTCAGATTATGATTGTCATAATGAAGTGAGCCAATTGCACCTGACAAAGTCCAGGCAGGACTTGACTGAGCCACACAACATCTCTTTTAGCAGATATCGAAGGTATTTTGGGGGGTGCCCCACTGAAAGATAACCTGGATCAGATACCAGTATGGAGATCTATTGTCATAATGAAGTGAGCCAATTGCACCTGACAAAGTCCAGGCAGGACTTGACTGAGCCACACAACATCTCTTTTAGCAGATATTGAAGGTATTTTGGGGGGTGCCCCACTGAAAGATAACCTGGATCAGATACCAGTATGGAGATCAAAGATAAAAACTGCAGTCTAGGAAAAGATAAAATCTCAAAAGCTCCCAGATTAAGGCAGAAAAGTCAGGCCAATAAAGAATTGTTGCAAAGGAACTGGAAGCATCAGGTCTGAATAAAATCTGAACAGAGGATGAGACAGGGATCGCTGAAAGTCTCTGGCTCGGATTATTTTAGCAGACAGAAAACTGGATCTCATCCACAAAGTCACAAAAACTTAAGATCAAAATGATTAAAATGATCAGAACTGATGATACGAAATCTTTTGGATGAAGATATGAGGACTTGAGGATGTTAAGCTAGGACATACAGAAGATCAAAGAAGATCAGGAGGAATTTAGGAAGAAATAATCGCAGGAGGTGGTAGAAAGGAAGAAGAGCTTGAGAGATACAAGGTTTAATAACCAAAGCATCCCAATGGTGCTGAATAATAAAAACAGCAGGAAGAGCAAACAGAAGACAGGTGAATGAAATGAGCAGGAAATCCCACCATAGCCCATACGCTTGGAAAACAGCAACCTGCCTCATCTAGCTAAGAACAAGTGCGGAACAGAGGTGCTTTGTGGAAAGAGCAAATCATGCAGACTCTGATGTAAAGCACAGGTAACCCC